GAAATTTCTTGAAAAAATCATAAAAAAACGTCATATCTCGAAAACTACAAGGATTTGAGGCAAGAATCGCAACCTCTGAGAGCACCCAACTACAGGTTGAGAATTTCAAAAATTGAGAAATTTTTCTGAGGTAAATTTTCTAGGTATTTTGAAAAAACTCGAAAATTGCCTATCTACGACGTCGGGAAATTCAAATTTTGAGAAACTTCACCTGAAGTTTTCTAAAAAACGGTAATCACATCTTGAAAACTACCAAAATTTGAGCAACCTTTACTGGTGGCAATATTCGCTATCTTCGAAAGTAGACAACTACAGGGTTGGAATTTCACTTTAACGAATTATTTTGTAATTTGAGTTTTCTGAATATTTCCAAAAAAATCACAAAAATGATTTGGACATTCTTAATTGGAGGCCAAACTTGCAGCCCCTCAGATTACTCTGACAGCCCCCCAACTACAGGTTAGGAAATTCAAACTTAAAATTAATTTAATTTTCATGAAATTTTTTTCGAAAAATCACAAAAAACGTCCTATCTGGAAAACTACAAGGGTTGGAGCAATCAAATTGTGAGTCAAAACTCGCAACTCCTGAGTGTACCCCGACCCTGACAGAGTCTCACTACAGAGATGGTAATTTCAAATATTCTGAAACTTTTTCTGTTTTCTGAAAAATTTTGAAAAAAATCCAAAATAACGTCATATCTCGAAAAACTACAAGGATTCGAGCAGCCAGAATCTGAGGCAAGATTCGCAACCCCCTGAGAGTAACCTCACAGATTCCAATAACAGCATTGAGATCTTCAAACTCCTGGAATTTTTTCACATTTAAGTTTTTTTGAAAATTTCGGAGAAAATCATAAAAACCGTCATATCTCAAAAGCTACAAGGATTTGAGCAGTCATATTCGGCGGCAAAATTCGCAACTCCTGAGAGTACCCTGGTCCTGGCAGAGTACAACTACAGAGATGGTAATTTCCAATATTGTGGAATTATTTATATCTATGTTTTCTGAAAAATTTTGAAAAAAATCCAAAATAAAGTCATATCTCGCAAAGTATAAGGATTTGAGCAGCCATAATCAGAGGCAAGATTTGCAACCTTCGACAGTACCCTCTTAACATCCAACAATAGGATTGCGATCTTCAACGTTTTGGAAATTTCTTGAAAAAATCATAAAAAAACGTCATATCTCGAAAACTACAAGGATTTGAGAAGTCAAAACTTGAGGCAAGAATCGCAACCTCTGAGAGCACCCAACTACAGGTTGAGAATTTCAAAAATTGAGAAATTTTTCTGAAGTAAATTTTCTAGGTATTTTGAAAAATCTCGAAAATTGCCTATCTACGACGTCGGGAAATTCAAATTTTGAGAAACTTCACCTGAAGTTTTCTAAAAAACGGTAATCACATCTTGAAAACTACCAAAATTTGAGCAATCTTTACTGATGGCAATTTTCGCTATCTTCGAAGGTAGACAACTACAGGGTTGGAATTTCACTTTAGCGAATTATTTTGTAATTTGAGTTTTCTGAATATTTCCAAAAAAATCACAAAAATGATTTGGACATTCTTAATTGGAGGCCAAACTTGCAGCCCCTCAGATTACTCTGACAGCCCCCCAACTACAGGTTAGGAAATTCAAACTTAAAATTAATTTAATTTTCATGAAATTTTTTTCGAAAAATCACAAAAAACGTTCTATCTGGAAAACTACAAGGGTTGGAGCAATCAAATTGTGAGTCAAAACTCGCAACTCCTGAGTGTACCCCGACCCTGACAGAGTCTCACTACAGAGATGGTAATTTCAAATATTCTGAAACTTTTTCTGAAAAATTTTGAAAAAATCCAAAATAACGTCATATCTCGAAAAACTACAAGGATTCGAGCAGCCAGAATCTGAGGCAAGATTCGCAACCCCCTGAGAGTAACCTCACAGATTCCAATAACAGCATTGAGATCTTCAAACTCCTGGAATTTTTTCACATTTAAGTTTTTTTCAAAATTTCGGAGAAAATCATGAAAACCGTCATATCTTAAAAGCTACAAGGATTTGAGCAGTCATATTCGGCGGCAAAACTCGCAACTCCTGAGAGTACCCTGACCCTGTCAGAGTCTCACTACAGAGATAGTAATTTCAAATATTGTGGATTTATTTATATCTATGTTTTCTGAAAAACTTCGAAAAAAAATCCAAAATAAAGTCATATCTCGCAAACTACAAGGATTTGAGCAGCCATAATCAGAGGCAAGATTTGCAACCTTCGAGAGTACCCTCTTAATATCCAACAAAAGGATTGAGATCTTCAACGTTTTGGAAATTTCTTGAAAAAATCATAAAAAAACGTCATATCTCGAAAACTACAAGGATTTGAGAAGTGAAAACTCGAGACAAGAATCGCAACCTCTGAGAGCACCCAACTACAGGTTGAGAAATTCAAAAATTGAGGAAATTTTCTAAAGTAAATTTTTTAGAAATTTTGAAAAATCTCGAAAATTGCCTATCTCGTAAGCTAAAAGGATTTTTCTCTTCATATATGGAGGCCAGAATCGCAAAACCAGGGCAAATTCTGACAAAATACTACTATTGGGTTGCTAATTTCAAACTTGATGAAATAAACACTGAATTTAAACTGGAAAATTGAAAAAAAAAACCTTAAACAGCAATATACGATATAGCCTAAGCGTGAAAAAATTCTTTTGTTAAAAACGCAAAAATAATACGTTGAAAAAGCTTAAACATGGCGAGACAGTGAAGCCCGCATTTAAACACATAATAGATAGATAGATAGATAATAGATGAAAGTTAAAAAAACTAGGCGACGGTTATACAGACAATCAAAATAATTTAAAAAAAGCAGGTATACATACAGAAAGGCTTAATTTGGCCTCGAAAAAAAATACTGAAAAATTAATGACCTTGCGGAAAACTAATTGAAAAAACTTCTTAAGCATTGCAGTATATCATATAGCTTTAACATGAAAAAATTCATTCGTTAAACATGCAAAATTACTATGCTTAAACATGGGACATAGCTGTCACTCGCATTTAAATATTGTATAGATATAGATCGACGATGCAAAACGTTATGCGTAATTTTCAAAATGTCGAAAACTGAAAAGTTCGGGGCTGATTGATTATCAAAAACACTGACAACAAGTTTTAGGGAGAGAAATCAGTAAAACATCTCCGTTTGATTGATTTCTCGACCTCGAATTTTAGAGAAATTGAGCTAAGCCCAAAAAATGGGTCCAAATGTCACTTAATGGATGTTCACGAAGTCCATATCAGATTCCTTGCCACAATTGGTAAAATCAGCCTATGCAGGCGATACCAGAGGATACACCTACAACTTGTTATTTGTATTGGAGGTGTTATTGTAGAGTTGGCACTGTAGTTTTCGAAAGAATCAGATTTGAGAAAATAGGATTCGGAAAATTTCTTTTGTTTAGGTCCAAATTTGCCTTTCTTAAATAATGTGACATAGTCGCTTAAAAAGCAAAATTTTTTAACTTCGAATTTCAGATCGGCAGTCTAACTTTTGAGAACAATCTGAAGTTTCTAGAAAACAGGCAAAATTTCGAAATTCGGGCATTTTTAAAGTCATAAATATTTTTCTTTCAAACACTAGGGCACAATTTGTTGTACGGAGAAAACTCGCACAATCTGTTCATTTGATTGAATCCTTACTGTCAGAATCCTTAATGTCGTGGCTTTTGAAAAAAATCGAGTTTTCAAAAAAAACTAGATCTTCAAAAAAAACTACATTTATTTTGCAATAAATTTTCTTCAAAAGTTAGGGCAACACACAGTTAGATCAAAACATCTGCAAAACGTATTCTTTTTATTGCACCCTTAAAAACAGATTTGGCAAAGTAATTTTTGAGAAAAGTCAAAAAGTTTCCAAAAAACGAGCAAAATCTCAAAAATTTGACATTTCCTATGGCCATAAATTCAAAAATTGGTCCAATTGTTAAATATTTGAGGCCTCAATTCCATTTCTGATTGCTTGCGAAATTTAATAGAATCCGTTGACGCTGGGGATGTCCCTGCAACTAAATCTTCGATTTTACCCTCAATCTCAAAAAAAGCATTTTTTTCCAAAAACAAAATTGATTTTCTACAAAAATACAGGCGTAGCCAAAATAAGAGCAGAAAAAATCCACGTACTGAAATTTTCATTTCAACCCTTTCTAACAGATTTGGAAGGTTACTTTCCATCAAAACTTTTTGAAAAAAATCAAAATTTTCAAAAAGTTGATTTTTCTTAAGTCAAAACTTATTTGCTGCAAATAGTAAGTGCGTAGCTGCTCATGCAGACAGAAATGCTGCCACCTTTTCTTTCGATTGAGCCCTTCATCTCAAATTTGGCAGAATTGTTCTAGAGAAAAACCAAACGCTTTCAAAATTAGACAATTTATATTTCTATAACATTTTTCCACAAAAATAAGAGCGTAGCCGTTTATATTTACTCAAGGGTGATTCCTAACACTGTTTCGTGCGATTGAACATTTTGGATTGATCATATTTCTTTTTCGGTACGGTAGATTTCGAGAAAAAAAATATTTTCGAAGAAACGATCAACGGTTCAAAATTTGGGCATTTTCTAGAGCCATAATTATTTTCTACAAAAACAAGGCATAGCAGCTTATGCAAGTGAGACTCCAACAAAAACTTCATATATTTGAAGTCTTTGATGATTTCAGATTTGACGGGGTAGTTTTTGAGAAAATGAAAAAAAAAATCCAAAACATGCGTCAAAAATCCCCCCACTGCAAGTTTCGAATGCCGTGTGATTCGGTAGAAAGAGACTAGCAAAATTGACGGCACACGGGAGTTTTCCATCGATCTTTCAACCAATTTTGTGAAAATAATGGTGTCACCAAAAGTAGCGCCAATATTTGCGACTTGGGTCAGAAAAAAAAGTTCACTTCGTATTAAGACACTACGCTGCGCATGTGTAAACATTGCAGTTTCCTTAGAATGCCATGTGCTAAAACTTACAATTCCAAATGCAACAGACAGCATAGTCTGCTTCTTGTGATTCATATTCTGCGGAATGTGCGGTCTCTTCGGCAACAAAGCCGATCCAGCAACGGTCCAAAATGTCAGGTGCTTCTGACCGACAGACACAAAATGCGAATCAGAGTCTGGTCTAAACTGTGCAGTGAATACCCTGTTTGGTCCAGTGGGGATTTTGGACACTTTCAAAGCCTCTTGCCACTTCCATACAACTAGAGTGTGATCGGGGTCTAGACCAACAGTGCACAAATAGCGACCACTGCTGCTGAAGTCTAACATGCATACACCTCGTGAATGACCATCGCTGAAAATCACAAGCTTCGATTAGTCTCCAAGCGAGTTAAGTTGAGTTACAGTCTTACTGACAAAATAAAATAGCGGCGAGGGCAGTGGTAAGGAAAGTGATACTGAAGAGGTTAAGTATGCACCTCTAAACCTAAAAGTCGTTGGTTCGAGGCCCACCACAATCCGTGCTCGTTTTTTGAGGCAACATTACACAAAACCGTTTCTACGTTTAAGAGCCGAACATCTCGAGACATCCAACAGGTCGATTTATTAACAAATCTGAACTGATAAGACAAAACTTGTTAGAAAATCTTGTTTCGCAGAGTGCCCATAGTATTGCATTAGAAGGCAAAGCGGATTTTCTCACAAAGTTTATTACAATACAAACGTAATATGGCAAATTATCGAAGCTTGGAAAAGAGTAATGAACGCAAGTAAACATAAAACACTGACTTTCTAGAAAAATCTTCAACTTTTAAATTTAAAGAAAAAAATATAGATGCCATTTAAGCTCTTTGAATTTCTAAAACAATTTATGATTGGCGCTTTTCTGATATTATGAGCCCAACTAGAGAAAAATGGATCAATAGGTAAACTTTTTATTCCGCTGCAAATCTAAAAGTTAAATTCCACTTTCGAAACTAGAAATCGTTCACGCTGTTTTGCTCCATTTCCACGTTCGTATTTGGAGAGTGCTATTAACGTAGTTTTTAGCAGATGAATTTCTAACTCAAAAACTGTATATATACCTAAGCGCATTCATAAATGCATCAATATGTATGGATGCACATTTGTAGTTATTAGAGCATTTTAAGACTTTTTCGTGAAAAAAAAATCACCCATATAAAGATGAAATCACCTATATAACCTAAAAAAAATCACCTATCTATAAGACCTATATAAGAGTCTTCACTACTTTAATTACTCCTAATCAAACGTCAATACATCAGGAAAAAAAGGAAAAGAAACAAAAAACACTTGATTTATACATGTTCTAGTTCACATCGTTGATTAACAATGACATTATTAAAACCAATTATAATTATTATCATTAATTATTTTATGATCTCTCATTTTTTGTTAAAACGAATTCGATTAGAGAAAACTGAATCAATAGGTAGTTTTTTTAGTTTTTGTGTTTTTGCTGTGAAATCTTAATAACAAAATACAATATCGAAACTAAAAAAATCAAGCTTTCATTTTTGGTAATTAGAAATAGCAAATTTCATCAAAAAAAAACGAATTGAAATTGAAAATAAAATCAAACACAGAGAAGCTGCGCTTCGCTAACACTAGAGCGAAAACACGAAAAAAACCAGTTTTATAAAGTGAAATAAGAAATAGAAAAAAAAGTCTTGAGTTAGTAGAACTTTGCTACTTAGTGGCTTCGAACCTGCGACCTCGAGATTTGGAGTCTCACTTTCTGTCCTCTCGGCCACGACCGCTTAACAATTGTCAAACACTAGTGACAAATAGAGCAGATACATACGAAAAAAAAAAAATGCCAAAGCGATGGCGCAACAAAAATGGTGCAACAAAAATGGCACCAAATACAAATAGACACAATTTTGCAAGTAATAATTTGAAATATAACAAACTGAAGGCATCCTCGCTAAATTTGCATGTAACAAATCGGAGAGCATAGCCCCATTATGTGTAAATTATGCATTTTAAAAAATTGCGAGATATATTGAGTAAGAAAATTTCTGAAAACGAGTTTTTATCATTGTATGTTGTTTGAAACAAATCACTTTTTCGGTTCATTCGATGAATTAAAAACGCATCAACTGTGTTAACTTATTACTATTAGAATGTCAAAGCAGATGCAATCAAAAATCCAGATGACTACAAAAATGAAGTGACTACCAATACGACGAAAGTCTACCTGTGAAAAAAGTAAAGTCATTTACGGGTTAACGTCCAGTAGAAGGTTGCATTACCCTTGCTTATTTCGATTGTATACACAAATTTGAGTTGTTAAAAACTAGCGAGAAAACGACAAAAAAACAGTTTTAACTGACTTGGTCGGGAAAAAAAAACAGTTTTATAGCATTACACTACGCTCGCTAGCCTGCTCGTGTAATGAAGCATCCGATTATCTTACTTCAGAATAGCAATGGTATCCAGAGTCGTGTGGTCCCATACATGCACAGCTGGTTTGAGTCCCACTTGCCCCGAGGCACAGACATGTTTGAGTTTAGGAAACTGACACACTGCAAGACACAGAACGTCGTCTGTATGTTCCATATAAAACTGTTGAGCACCTGAAACAATACAAAATTACTAATGTTGAACTAGATTTTTATTTATTTAATTAATATTGGATTTTTTAGTCAGCGCTATTGCTGAATTTGATAAAAGCACGCTCAAAAATTTTCATTTTTTTTCGAAAATTTCCAAACGATGCGAGCCTATTTTCCCTCAAGTAAACAATTATTCCAATATCTGTACATGGAGATATCTTATATCTCTTACATTGGAGATAGTTTTATATAACTCTTGGAACAAATAAATAAATACTTCACAACTAACCAGATTCAAGGTTCTGCACAATACAGACAGCTGCTGCGTGATACACAATATCCTTGCCCTCATTCACTAAGTGCAAATTATTTCGAGTGTCACAACCACGATAGCCAATCACATGCTCCAAATCCAATCCAACGATCTCATCTTTAGACGATTTCTTTGAATTAGATAAGACTATCTGATGTTCTCTCGGCTTTGCTCGTGAAATTGCACTCCTTTCTGATATTTTTGAATCGTCTTGTTGCTTTTCTTTTTTGCTTTTAAGCACCTCGCGTGACGAGGGGTAAATTTTAGCATCAAAATCAATTTCACATTCCCTTTGAACATCGCTATCAAACCCTTCTAGGTCCGTATCGCCGAAAGAGACGTCACTATCTCCCGAATCGATACTGAATTTACTCGAATCTGATTGGACACGAGGTGTGTCGGCAGATTGGTCAGTCGAGGTAATTGCACTCTTATTGCGCCATATCATGACAGAAGTGTCTGCTCCGCCTACTGACACCAGATGAGACCCATCTGGGATCCAGCGGACGTTGGTCACGTGAGCGGAGTGGCCAGCGTATTGCTTGAACTTGGCAAACTTTCCCTAAACCAACTCAAACAGTAAGTATTGTGACCAAAATGATTGAAGTTAAGATAATTAAGAAACGATCTGTAGATTTTAAATCTCACTTCAGAGCATTTGTCAATTTTAAAATCATTTGGCACGGATCTCCAACCAAGAATCTACAGCTCAAGGATCTCACCAGTCAAGTACTCGAGCACAGCAGCAAGGTAGACTGGGGCTCCAGCACCAATACACCTACTTGTTCCGACCACTTGACAAAAAGGTACGAAACTATGGTACAGGGCGTGCCCCCCCCTCAATTTTGCACAACTAAGCAATAATTGATATAATTTGGTTGCGTTTGATGGCTTTACTTATTCTTAGGTCTTCCTTCAGAGTTAATTGTGTCTACATAATAATCATCTTTATGTCATAACTGCGTCATAATCAGGGGCGGATCTAGGATTTTCTCGACGGGGGAGGTGGGCGGATTTCAAAAAATTTTGACCTTTTTTAGGTGAGTTCTTCCAAATCACTATAAAAACCTCATTTTGACCAAATTTTTGGCGCCCCAGGCATACTTTTAAACAGGCAGGCCAAAAAACGCGTTTTTAGGCACTTTTTGGTAAATGTTGACCAAAAAATTGCGTTTTTTCGGCGCGTGCTCCCCCTCAAAATTGGTGTATTTTAGCGCCAAAGGCGTCTTTAGAAACATTTTAGGGTCAGCCAGCCATAAATGGATATCTCAAAATAGTACAAATGGGGACCCTTTGGCTCGGCAGCGGTTCGAATCCTAAAACCGCTGGTGGTGATAATAATAAAAATTTCCATAAGATACAAGGCAGTTGAAGCCGCTTTTGCACAATGTTTTTTTTTCAAAAATGCCGTACGACTAACGTTTAGCTTACCTTAGCTGGGAAGTTGAACAATTTCACAAATCCGAAGTCGTCACCAGTAGCTATTAAGTTATCGAATCTACTGCACGCATTCACATCAGTGACGTCACATCTTGGTGGCCATATACCCTCTACACAGTGACCCAACACGCAAGTCCACGAAGACCATGGCATGGACTCTACCACATCATTTCGGAGGGAGATTCTCTTTCCTCTTGGAGCTTCGAAGAAGAGAAGTTCCTTGGCACCCGATGTGACCATTAGTAGTTTTTCTACGACAAAAGGTTGAAATTTATGTAGAATTTTGCCCTCTTGTTTTGTACAAAACATGGTTGCTATCGTAAACAATATGGTAATAATCATGTTTTGTACTTTTTTTTTACAAAACATGATTATTACCATATTTTTTTCTCGTTCTTTAGAATTTCAATACCAGCAGGTACAGTGAATCAAATCAAAACGTTATAAGAAATCGAAACAGGTAAAGTGTAATTTAAACCACAAACTGATTATTTAGTCTAATTAGCCATTTACTGAAGACAATCAATGATCCTTAAAAGTATGTTACAATTTAGTGGGAAACTTTCACAGAGGCGAAGCGGAGATTTCAATCATTTACGATGGAAAAATGAATGTATATAAAGTAACGATGAATCCATTTACGATAGCTTTCCATCATTTACGATAGAGAAATGAATGTATATAACGTAACGATGATAAAATAACGATGAATCGACTAATCAAAACCTGAGCAAACAACGAATCGTTTTTGTCAAAAAATGCAAATCAAAAAAAATCTTGGAACAAAATAAACGCCATTAGAAATTTAGCAATGGCTTTCGGAATGTAAGAAAAAAGCTGATCCTTCAAAAAGTCTGCTTTGCGGAATTTAAATCGACAAAAATAAGCAGACAGTCGATAGTATAGCATAGCCGAATCTTTACAGTTAGAAACCAAAAACTGATCCCAGCCGGACTCTGGCCATTGTCATCTCAAGAATGGTGAGTGTTACGTTACCACTACGCCAAATCCGCAACATGACCCGCTTAATTTGAATTTCTCATGAAGCAAAATGGAAAAACGTGTGATATTCTGTGAACGAAGTTCTTTACGGAAAAAGTTCTTTACGTTCTTTTTGGCTGATTTTTTTTGTGAAATTTTCAACATGCTAAGAAAAAATTTGATAAAATTTACCGTGGGCTTTCACAAAAATTATATTACTGACCGCTACTATCCCAGTCTACGTGTGTTATGTAGCTGGAGGCTCCTTTACACACACCCACTCTCTTCTCACTGTTGACGTTATACACGTCCACGAAGTTGTCATGTGAGGCCACTGCTAAATACTTGGCGCTATCTGAAAAAAACTACTACATTCAAGTCTTCATTTGGGACGGATTCAATTTTTTATGTATTTACAGCAAATACCTCAAAATGCATCTAATTTTGATTCAATTTTTAGTTGTAGCATTTGGTCTCAGTTCCGAAGAACTATTTTTCATGCTTAATTAATATCTTCACTGTGATTACTCGCTATGAAAATTACTTTTTTTTCCTGCCATATCTTTTCTGAGGCCTTCGACACTCCATAATACCAGGTAAAAATGTTTGCATTTAATAAAATTATGATACCATGATGTTCAAACATCCACAAACAATAAATCTTTTCCTGATTTTGTTTGCTTAATGAGGATTATATCTGATTGAAAAGTCATGCCAATCTTACCGGGAGAAAACTTGATATCTGAAATCTCCTCTTTCCGATGATGAACTTCAACGAGCGCCTCCAATTTCTCACCCTGATCATTTCCTTCAGATGGCGGACACTTATATACACCAAAACTACCATCAATATAACCCACAGCTATAAATTCCCCATTGGGCGAAAAATCCAAGCATCTCGCGCCTTTCTGCAGTTGAAAACTCGATATCATTTTCTTGAGTTTTACACTCCATATTTTGAGTGACTTATCATCACTGACTGTTGCGATGTGATCACAATTTCTGTTCATAGCCAGACCCCATAACTCGCCTTCGTGATGACCTTGAACCAATATTGCAACAGCGCCTGATTTGTCAATTTCCAAAACTTCGCTATTTTTAGTCGCTGCTATAATCACGCCGTGTCCTATTTTGACAGCTCTGATCGAAGCTACTTTTCCTGTTATGTTCAGAGAATCTGATTTCTCGATGCTGTAGCTGCGAAGACTTTTATCAAAATTTTCGTTCCAAAGACACACGCGACCATCTTTTCCGCCGGTGACAAATCCCTGAAAAAATAAATCAAAAACAAAATCAAAAAACATTTGAAATTTAACATTTCACAGCAACCATCTCAGGCTTTGAACACGTAAATTTTTCGTCATAATCACAAAAAAATTTACAATTTGAATTTAGATACAGTTTAGAGAACATTAATGAACTAATAAACCGCATCAGGGTTACTGTACGGTTACAATGAGAACTTCTGAAAGCTGTGCCTCCAATCGCACGATAATGTCTTGTTTAAAAGAAACGCAATAATATGCTGAAACGATGCTGCAGAAATGGGTAATAAATTACTTAAAGTCTACAAAAATCGTCATAATATTTAATTTTTATAACATATGATTTGGAAGAAGAGTCGAGTTAGCCCAGTGGTAATCAAAGAAAAGCTCGTTCAGTGTTGAATTCGTCAAACAAAAGAAAAACTGGACAAATTTGGTTAATTTATCATCGATATAATTACAAAATTCATAAAAGTATGTTCTCGGATGATTTTTACTCTTTCTTTTGTTCCATTCCCAGTCGAGGGATGGGATTCATTTTAAATCCAAAAATGTTTCAAACTTTCTGAAACATTTAAAAAGTTGGTTTGAGAGAGTATCGAGTTGGCCCAGCAGTAGTCACATCCAGGATCGACTGTGAGTCGAACCCAGGTTGTTTAGTGAAAGTGAGAAATGCTTCAGGCTCATGTCAGAAACCACTGCGCCACGGCTCCCTCGATTTACTAATACTTGCAGTTTGTTTTACGTGGAGTCAGTAAAGAGAATGTTACCATTGCTGAAATGATTGGTTTGAACTATTTATACTATTACGTCATTGAATTCAATCGCTTCAATGGTAAAGCAAGAGCTGCAATGGTAAATATGTTCATCTCTTTTGTATATTACCTTCAGTGTAATTTGACTAGAAATATGACTATAAATGCTAGTAAATCGAGGGAGCCGTGGCGCAGTGGTTTCTGACATGAGCCTGAAGCATTTCTCACTTTCACTAAACAACCTGGGTTCGACTCACAGTCGATCCTGGATGTGACTACTGCTGGGCCAACTCGACACTCCCTCAAATCAACTATTTTGAATTACCACAAACTTTTGTGAAAAAAGGCTGCCCTAAAATCCGAAGAGCACTAAACTCAATATAATGAAATGGAATCCTCTTTTTTGCTTTAATATGAGCATTTAGGAAATCTGATTACCTTTTCCCAACGCTAAAAACACGACTTACTACTAAAATGCTATTAAACTAACTTATATACGAATACAACTAAGTATAACAAACAAATGCTATTATACTTTTAAAAACGAACCTCATAATTGCTGACTGCTGCGATACATGCACAGGGTCCATTTCTGTGCGCCTCAATGGCTCTCAGTAGTACATTGTCTTTCCATGCGTAGACATGTCCAGTCTCGGCACCCGTGAAACACAACTGCTCCGAGTTCCCAAAAGTCACACAACACATTGTGACCAGCTTCGCGACGGTGCCAAATGTACCTGTAATTAGATTAAGACCATTTATTCATGAGAAGAACCAGCTCTTTAGCGAGAAGCACTGATGTGCCAATGCTTCAAAAATCAGGCACATTTTTGGTTCTTTTTTCGACTGATCAATGTTGCCAGACTATCCAGCAACGAGCACTTGGATTTTGGTCGGCCTAGAAGCAACGACCTCGCAACTGATATGCAGCGGGCTTTAGCCACTTCCACAATTTTCATCGTGGCAACCATAAGAAAAATTTAAGGCTGATATAAAAACAGTCAATTATCAGATTAAGCTAAAACCTTTTCAACGTTAAGGAAAATTAGAGAATATATGGATCAAAAAATGAAACATAGCCAACTGACAGTTGGAAAAAAGTAATGAACGCAAGGCCGGAAACTAAAAAAAAACTGACTTGTTTTTTTTTTCCAAAAATCTTCAACTTTTGAATTCCGATGAAAAAATAGATGGCCTTAAAGCTCCTTAAATTTGTAGAACAATTTATGATGGACACTTTTTTGTTAAAACTAACCCAATTTGAGAAAACTGGATCAATAGGTATAAGTTTTATTTCGCTGGGAAATCTGATAATTAATTTCCAATTTCGAAATTAGAAGTTCATCACGTTTTTCGTGAACTATACAATTTTGCTGTTCGACAGTGGAGTTTGCCTTCCTTTTAACAATAGAAAGGCACTGAACTTAAAAATAAATGAAAAGTCAAACTGCAAAAAATTAAAATTGGGAGTGAACAAATAATTTCTTACATTCAAAAAAATCTTACAAATAAATTCTACTTTCGAAATTGGAAATCGTTCACGTTTTTGCACGCCATTTCTACGTATGTATTTGGAGAAGAATTTTTACATCACTTTCAGCAGAAGAATTTCAATTGAACTCAAAAAAAGCATATATATTTAAGTGCATTCATGACTGCAACAATATGTATGAATGCACATGTAGTTATTAGAGACCTTTAAGACTTTTCCGGAAAAAAAACAACAAAAAATCATCAAGACCTATATAAGAGTACTCATTACGTTCATTACTCTTAAAAACGACTGATTAACCAATAAAGTTTTAGCGAAGCGAAAAGAAGCTGAAATATACTGAAAAATATCCTTTTGCTTATGCAGGAAAAATATGTTCAGGTTGGCAAAGAGTCAATGAACGCAAAGAAACAGAAAAAACTAACCTATTTTTGTAAATACTTCAACTTAAGTAAAAAATATATAGCTTTACAGCTCTTTGAATTTCATGAACAATTTATGGTTGACAAAATTAACTCAAATTGGGAAGACTGGATCAACAGGTTGAGTTTCTAATCCGCAGGAAAGTAAAAATGAATCAAATTCCACTTTTGAAACAGAAATCGATCACATTTTCTATGCCATTTCCTCTTTCGTAATTGGAGAGCAAAATTTGCCTTTCTTTTAGCAAATGAAGTTGAATTGCACTCAAAAAGTGCACATATACTTAAGAGCACTAATAGGAGCATTAATATATACGAGAGGACTTTCTGTAGTTATTAGAGCGTTTTAATACTTTTCCTAAAAAAAACGTACAAAAATCACCACGACCTATATAAATGTGAACTACGTTCAGCGGCTCTTAAAAACAATTAACACAGGGGCGCAGCAAATCTTTACACTACTTGCCTTCAAATTTAAAAGAAAAAATATATGCCCTTAAAGCTCTACGAAATGGAAGAACAATTTCTGACGAAACAAACTCAATGAGAAAACTGGATTGATAGACAAATTTTCTATTCCGCTCGAACAGTAAAAATCCGCTTTCAAATTTAGAAATAGTTTACACTTTTCATGACGCTTACACTTTTGAAAATGTTAGATTGTGGAGTTTTCCTTCCTTTAAACAAAAATGAACCGAACTTGAAAAAAAAGCAAAAGACAAACCGATAAAAATCAAATTTGATTCAACTAATTTTACGAACAATTCCTAGCAGAAAAAAAACAAAAAAAAATATCACGGCCTTTATAAATGTCTTCACTACGTTCATTGACACATAAATAATCTTGAAAAACTCAATTACAAAAATGACTTTATTTTGTCACTAATGCTGTTCAATTCTGGGAACACACATCCAGCAATACAATCGCCCAAACGCAAAAATTAAGTAACTAAGCCGAAACCATTTAAAGCTGAATCAAGCTTTTAAGCAAAAAATATATTTTTACAAAATCAGGTTTAGTAAACGAACAAAGTAGACTAATAAATCAAAAAATATTGCTCACAGCGTGAAAAAAAATCAGTCAAGTGGCAGCTAAACCGATAAAACATAATCGAACAAACGACAGGCCGGCAGTTTTAAAAAAAACAACAGACAGTTAAAAAGAGTCAACGAAGGTAAGGAAACAGAAAAGGGATCAATTGAGCAATCCCCCTTTTCCCCGGTGGGGGAGATAATTATAATTCAATAGTTACTTGATGCATGTTTTTAGCCACTTGAAAATAATTTGAAAAATATGAAACCATGAGCCAGATTCTTCAACGAATATGGAACGCCAAATTTCAGTACATCAAAATTCTAAATATACTTTCAGAGTTTTAAAAAAAATAAATTTAACAGATGCAATTAAAGGAAAAATTATATTCCGTACATTATTTTGGTGATGCAGAGAACATTTTTGGTCATCAGGTTCAAAATTAGAGCACCAACACAGGTAACTACTTATTTCCTCGATGCAATGGTTACCCAAAAAAAATCGCCACAAGAAAATAAGTCTCAGTCGGTAAATTGATTGCGTTCAATGAACAGATCAAACATCTGCATGCATTCGATAAGCTACAAAAATATATGGCTTCACATTTCTGTAAATGAATTTACCGAACACTTGGTGCGTGATACTTTTTTGAAAAAATTGCGAAAAATGGATCAATAGGTAAAGTTTTTAAAACGCTGGAAAATCTGGAAATAAAAATCCACTTCCGAAATTGAAAGTTGATCACGTTTTTCGCGACTTAAACATTTACCAAAAATTGGTCAGCGTAACTTGCCTAAATTTAAGCAGATGAATATGAATTAAACTCAAATAGTGCATCTGCAGTATTGATTGAAATTATCCGGAAACAAAACGAACAAAACTTCAAATGCGTTTTTGGGTTAAGATTAAACACAAAGTGAAGTAGACAAAAGTTGCTGAAATTTTTCGGAAAATTTTAGCAGAATTAATATGGTGCAACTACAGGGTGAATTGATGAGCACGTTATATCAAACCAAGTCACTTACACAGCCCAACGAAGTTCTAAAAAAGTAAAATCTCCAAAAATTTGTAAAATCGAACACATTTCAGCGTAATAGCCGAAAAAGTGCTATTTTTACAAAATTAAACGAAAAAATCTTTGCTAAAAACAAATTTGAAAAGTTTTCCGCAAAAATTTGGAGATTTTTCCTTTCTAGAACTCTGTTGAAATGTGTAGGACTTGGTTTGATATCTTTTGATCATCAATTCACTTGGTAGTTTTTAGCATTCCTTTTGATTAACCAAAAGATCTAAAATGGCCCATTCAAAGCAACTTTTGTCCTCACTTTTGTCTAACCTTCACCAAATTTTAGAAAAACACGTGTCAAGTTTCAAATTTTGTTCGTTTTGTCCGGCTAATTTAAATCAGCACTGTATACCTATTAAGAATGAAAGCACTTCTATAAAACATTTCAAAACTTTCAAGTTCATCGACTCTGGAACATTTTGAAAAAAAAATAACTCCCAATTCAACTGTAAAAGCAAACGACGGATCTAGTATTTTTTGTTACAAAACTGGCAATCGACTATCCTCTTTCCAAATCCGAACATGATGGGGTTACAAACAAAAAAGGGATCGACCTAACTTCTCTTATCACACTATTATTTCTCTTTCCTACGGAACGTTCCGTCTCATCAATGCGTTAAGTTCCACCTTCTTTCACCGCTTAGAGCCAGATGTATCAATCAATTAATGTAACAATTATAAATTTCAAAAAACTGCGAGTTGGTTCATTTGCTGAATTAAGAATCCATCAATTATGTTAATTTATTAATAATCGTTAGTCAAAGCTTATACTATCAAAAACCGTAAAGGTGCCATCAATATTTGCGACTTAGGTTGGAAAAAAAGAATAGCCGTACTACTTACACTACGCTCGCAAGTGTAATCACAATTTGAATTGAATAGCTTCAAACTTTGAGTCCAGACCAATAAAACTAAAAACAAAAAACTCGGCCAAAGGTTAGACCCTATATTTCTCAAACATTATATGGTAAAAAAGCACCAAAGACACCAAAGTCTTGGGAGGTAAATTAAGATGATGTTTAAGATGATTTCTGACCATCCCTGTATGCCAACTTAAATTTTGGTTCAATATCTGATCGATTTTTGAAATAAAAAAACTTTCGACCGGCGGCAATTCTACAATCTGAGGGCGCCACCAAAAATACTCAACATTTTTTCAACTACACTTGAAATATCTATGTTTTAAAACAATCCGGGTTGAACATACCTCGTTTTGTGGTGAGTCCGCCACCTGTCTGTGTTAGAAACTTGATATGCTTCACGCCACAAATGACCAGCTTGTCGGTATTGAAGGGGTTGAATTTCACTGCCAGAATTTTGTCTTTGTGGCCTCTAAAAAAGTTTTTTCTTTGAGAAACCATTAAAACATTAAAACCAGCGACAAGTTTCGAATTTCAGAAGAAAAACATATCACCCTAAAGCTTTTTAATATCAAATTGTTTTTTTAACTGTCAATTTTTTTTATTAAACTTATTAAACTAACACTATTGGGACAACAAATCTAGCTCAATAGTTTTATACTCCATTGGGAAATCTGAAAATCTAGTTTTGAAACAAATTTAATCATGTTTTATCGCTCCTTTGGCACTTTCGTCAATGTAGATTGTAATTTACTTTTCCTGTAAGCAAATGAAATTAAACTGAACTGATCAGATTTGAGCAAAAAAATCTTGAAGACTTTTTCGTTTAAAAAAGAAAAGAGAATATTTTTATTTGGGTCATGTTTCTTTTCTTTTTCCTAAATATAAAAGAATTCAGTTCCTACATTGTCTTCAAAAATACAAAACACAGTATTTTGGTTTATTTGGATTCAAAATCTAGAAAATAGTTTCTAATCCTTTGAAACTTTGTAAGTATAAAACGTAATTCTCGTTCAAAAAAAAACTACACAAACTACTGACTCGTTTTTTTTTTGAAAAAATCTCAGCTTTCGAATTTCCAACAAAAAATTATATGACCTAAAGCTCTTACAATTTCTTGTACAATACAGGATAGTCACTTTTCTCATAAAATTAACCCAATTTGAGAAAACTGGATCAATGGGTAAAAATTTAAAAAATGGGTGAAATTAAACTGAACTGATCAGATTTGAGCAAAAAAATCTTGAAGACTTTTTCGTTTAAAAAAGAAAAGAGAATATTTTTATTTGGGTCATGTTTCTTTTCTTTTTCCTAAATATAAAAGAATTCAGTTCCTACATTGCCTTCAAAAATACAAAACACAGCATTTTGGTTTATTTGGATTCAAAATCTAGAAAATAGTTTCTAATCCTTTGAAACTTTGTAAGTATAAAACGTAATTCTCATTCAAAAAAAAAACAAACTATACAAACTACTGACTCGTTTTTTTTGAAAAAATCTCAGCTTTCGAATTTCCAACAAAAAATTATATGACCTAAAGCTCTTACAATTTCTTGTACAATACATGATAGTCACTTTTCTCATAAAATTAACCCAATTTGAGAAAACTGGATCAATGGGTAAAATTTTAAAAAATTTTGAAAACAAACTCTTAAAAAATGATTGAAAACAACCTTTTTCTGAAAACAAAACGAAAGCCAATTAAACAAATTTACTCTATTTATAGAACTAAGTTATCTCAGAGTTGAGCAAAATATTCCATTTGACTTTTGGTATTATCGATCTTATTTATGCTACTATTACCTTATGTCAATTGTCTCCCACGACCGAGAAAACAACCAAAAATTCACACGAGCATAGCCAACAGGAAATTGCAAAACGGTTCAAGCACTAAATTGAGTTTTTTTCTGAAAAAATTTTCAACTTAAGTTCATCTGTAGTTATTAGACTTTTTCTGAAAAAATAAAAACAAAAAAAAAACGAATTCAATATAAAAGTCTTCCTGCGTTCATCGACTCTTAAAAACCAGTTTTTTTTCGAATTGAAAGTCATTCACGCCTTTCGCGCATTTTAATTTACTGTCACTTAAATCAGAGCTTAAAACAGTTCAAATTTAATTTCCCTTTAAAATGCTGGTACCAAGTTTTTAAGGTCCCAGATGAAGAAATTTTTTTTCTATTTCTGTTCAAATCTATACCACATAACATACGATATATTTCCCTTCTTATCATAACACATACAACAGAAGTAACACCAGCTGTCAAATTTCTCCTACCGAACAGAGGCTAGTTTTTCTCCTTTTCTCCATTCCCACACATGGACAGTGTGGTGCTCATCTAGAGAGACAGCCACCAGTCTCTTGCCCCCGTCCAGACTGGAGAAGTCCACACAACACACTCCCCTAGACATGTCCCCCCTCAGAATGGAGACACATTTCATGGTTACACAATCCCATACGTGCACAGAGGCCGACTTGCCAACCTAGACAAAAAAAACAGAGAATGTACTTCAATTAAACACAGAGGCTTCTCAACACTTCATACAACACAATCATAAGGAATGAAAAACGTTGAAAAAAACTAGGTGAGCGAAACATTTCGAATAACTTGCTGAAACACGCCCAGGGTCCAGCTAAAGCTGGATGTACGTATTTAATATTTTCTTAATTTGTTTTAATGCGGTACGAGATGCGCAATTTCAAAAACTGGACTTGGCCCAAAACCTTAGTTGTTTCTCTACGAAATTAAATGAAAAAAGTGAAAATTTGACATTTGGAGTTTTCCCAAAGACAGAACATTTCTTTTACAAAAATTAAGCAGAGGCCGCTTCTGCAGGAAAAATTCGCGCAACCCATTTTTTTTCGACTGAATTTTTCATCTCAGATTTGATAGGGTAGTTTTTTAGAAAAAAATCAAAAACTTTCAAGGAAACAGTCAAAGTTAAAAAATTGACTTTCCGAAATTCTTGAATTTTTTCTGCTAAAAGCAGGTAGTGGTCAGTAAATTAGAGAAGATTCCCAAAATCAGGTTTTTCGAGTGAACACAGCCTGAGATTGTCACGATAACTTTCAAAACTTTCGAAAAAAAGGTCCGAAACTGGGCGTAGCAAATTACAAAGCTAAGCTTTCAACAATCTTTTGTGTCGATTAAACCTATGATATAAAATTTGGCAGAATAGTTATCGAGTAACGTCCATTAATCGGTCAACAAATCGGATAGTAGAAATTTCCGACAATCAGGGTTTTTTGTTTCAAAAAATTCGAACGTGGCCGCTAATGCCGAAGAGATTCGCCCAACCTGTTATTTCGATTGAACTCAAAAACCCAGGTTTGGCAGAGTAGTTCTCGAGATAAGTCGAAAAGTGTTTTTGAAAAAAAGGTAAAAAGAAAAACGAAACTTTTCCGAGGGCCATAATTTTTGTGTCAACATTTTTTTGGCCATGTCGCGTATGCTCAAGAGCTTCTCACAACCCTCAAACGCTCAAAACTTCAAAAAGTTTTAGGTCATTTCTTGTTTTAGGTTTATCATGCTGATATTTAGTACACATGACTGGCCCGCGTGGTACAAAAGCAAACATCGGCAGCAAGGAGATGTCTCCCATAAAACAAAAAAAGAGAAAAAACAGCAGCCAAACCGTTGAAACATAAGTAATTATCACAAGTAAACAAAGATAATAACTTTTCTATTTAGTCAATATATTAATTGAATAAATGAACAACGGCAAGAGGCAGTTGGAAAACGGCCAACACAAAATTGGAAGAGAGTCAATCAACGCAAGTAAACAGGAAAAAAATCAACCTTCGAATTTCAAGAAAAAAATAGACGATCTTAGAGCTCTTTGAACTTCTAGAACAATTTACGATTGACATTTTTTTGAAATTAATCAAATTTGAGAAACTCTATCAAAAGGTAAGTTTTTTATATCACTGAGAAATCTGAAAACTAAATTCCATGTTCGAAACTATAGTCCGTGACATAAGTTTGAAAACAACTTTTAAACCATCAAAATTTCACTTCTAAACAGTTCTCAATTTTCAAATTTGCATACAAAAAACTTCATTCAGTTGTCTATCGTGTGTCAATTTCTCGGTGAAAAAGTGTTGTGATCACACGTCGCGCGTGAAAAATCAATTGTTTGAATTTTATCTTTCGAAAATGTTGTTTGAAGATGTGAAACTAAACGTCAAACAACTTTACGATTCCTGGCCTAAAGAACCTGGATTTAGACAAGCCTCAGCTTTGTCTCGAGCAACTATATACCGAATAGTTTTGGCAATTAAGAAAGGGAATCGGTGCAAGATAAGAAACGATAAGGGCGCCCAGCATAATTGACAAGTGATGATCGACGGTGCCTCGCGCAATTAAGCAATCACTACCCAACCCTTGCAGCTAAAGATGCAGTCAATATTTTAGAAAGAAAAAATCAAAGTTTCTTCCGGTACAGTTCAGAGTCACACAAAATCAAGCGACAAAATAAGCCTACTTTGACAGAAGAACACATGAAAAAACGAGTTGAATTTTGCTGAGAAAAACACAATTTTTTGTTTGATAACGTCTTTATTGCCGATGAGTGTCTCTTCTACCCGCACCGTAACACTCAAAAATACTGGACAAAAAATGCGGATCACAGTACCAGTCCCGAATTTTTCCATGTCTGTTATGGTCTGGTGTTCCCTTTCGGAAAAAGACAGTAATTGACAATTGTTGAGGGCAATATCGACAGCCGAAAGTACTGCTTGGTCCTCCAAGACTTCTTGCCATATGCCAATGCTCTTTTCCAACGGTTTGGGTTCTCAAACAAGATGGTGCTACAGCGCATACATCAAATTTCACAAAAGAATGGTGTCGGGACCAAAATGTAGTCATAATGCAATGGCCTGAAAACTCCCACTATCTTTTGCCATATTAAAATATTTGGAAGTAAATGAAAGATCTAGTAGAGAAGGAGGCTCCAGCAACGAAACAACAAATCAAAACGGAAATCCAGGCAGCTGCTGGTCGGATAAAACGAGAAATACGAGACAATTTGATGAAATCTGTGCACAAAAGTTTCGATCTCTGTGTAGCCTCAGGAGGTGACACAATTGACTATTAAAACAATTCGTTGCTTTGATATCATTTTTGTCTATCTCCGAACCAAAATTCGTGTTTTAGAGTTATTATTTGCCGAGAAATTTAAGGTTTTAAAAACTCTGTTTTGTCTCAAAACATAAGTCGCGGGGTATGAATTCGATCACGGTTTTTGTGACCATTACCTTTTTGCTGCCGAGTTTGCCTTCCTTTAAACACAGTGAATGGACTGAACTCGAAAACAAAATCAGAAGTCAACTCCCGAAAAAGTAAATTTAAGCCTGAACAAATTTGATGACTTTTCCTGATAGAAAACGGAAAAAACCATCTTACATATTAAAGAGTCTGAACTTCGTTCACAAGATTCATGAACTCAAGGAAGCATACAAAACTAATTTTTTTTGAAAAACTTCTAAGACTGACAATTTAAATAAAACAGTATATAGTCTTAACGCTTTTTGAATTTCAAGAAAATTTATGGTTGACATTTTTCGATAAAATTTTAACCAAAATTTGATCAAAACTGGATCAAAAGTAAAATCTTTTATTTCGCGGCAAGTTCCTTAAACTGGAAAAAAACGGAAAAAAGGAAAAAAACGACATGAATTACAGAAAACTCACTTCGCTCACTAACACTCAAGTATGAGAGATACCAATAATTAGTGTAGTTTTAAGTAAGTGCAAATATCAGGCCTCTGATCCGCATTTTTTTGACATGTTGCACTTAAGCCGGGTTATCAAAACTGCTTACTTCGCCGTATGAACAGTTGGTGCATGAAGTTAGCCAATTATTATGATTTTCTATATCTTGGAACTAAGTTTAGTTTTAGAAATCACAAGTGTGCAGATGGTCTTCAATGAGTAGGCAACATTTAGCTCAAGATTCTCTTGATGCACTAATATATTGCAATTAATCAATCTTAGCTCAAAGTGAAATACGTACAATTTTCTACACCGTTGCGATTCTATGCAAACGCCAGTAACCAGCTCTAAAAAGTGAAATAAAAAGGGAGAAATAAGCCTGGAATTCGTAAAAACCTTGCTTACTGAAGGATTTGGTGTCTAAACTCCTTCCCATTGAGCCACAGACATTTGACTAACGACACAAAGTAGCCAGAAATGAAGCAGAGAACAGATCCTATGAAATTTATAATATTACAGATCGTGATTATAGCAAAAGTCGAGCAAGGTTGGAAAAAATTACTTTGTAGTACACTGCCTGCGTTCAGAAACTCGCATGTGTAAAAACATCATAAGCAGACTTTTAATGCTATAGTTGTTTTGAAGGGGAACTTTTAATTAATTTGACTGACTAAGGCACTTGTGATCAGCTGCGTGGCGATCAACTTAGGGTTTCACTAAGTGTAACAAGCCAACAAAAAACGTGCGAAAAAATTAAAGCAGGGACGAGATTGAACTACGCAAAAGCAAGCAACAAATGAAAGCAGAAAGAAGCTCTTGACTTTCAAGAAAACAGCTCAATGAAAAGCTGAAATAAACAATTCGAACATTTTCTGGATTGTTTTAGGTTTATCATGCTGGTATTTAGTACACATGACTGGCCCGACAAAAGCAAACATCGGCAGCACGGAGATGTCTCCCATGAAACAAAAAAGAGAAAAAACATAGCAGCCAAACCGTTGAAACAGAAGTAATTATCAGAAGAAAACAAAGATAATAACTTTTCTATTTAGTCAATATATTAATTGAATAAATGAATATCGGCAAGAGGCAATTGGAAAGTGGCCAAGACAAAATTGGAAGAGTCAATCAACGCAAGTAAACAGGAAAAAAAACAACCTTTCGAATTTCAAGAAAAAAATAGACGATCTTAGAGCTCTTTGAATTTCTAGAACAATTTACGATTGACATTTTTTGAAACTAATCAAATTTGAGATACTCTATCAAAGGTAAGTTTTTTATATCACTGGGAAATCTGAAAACTAAATTCTATGTTCGAAACTATAGTCCGTGACATAAGTTTGAAAACAACTTTTAAACCATCAAAATTTCACTTCTAAACAGTTCTCAATTTTCAAATTTGCATACAAAAAACTTCATCCAAATTTTTTGAAACAAAAAGCTATGATTCTCGGAAATGTCTGCTATCCGATTTGTTGACCGTTCTCAAGGAAGCATACAAAACTAATTTTTTTTGAAAAACTTGTAAAACTGACAATTCAAAGAAAACAGTATATAGTCTTAACGCTTTTTGAATTTCAAGAAAATTTATGCTTGACATTTTTCGATAAAATTTTAACCAAAATTTGATCAAAACTGGATGAAAAGTTAAATCTTTTATTTCGCGGCAAGTTCCTTAAACTGGAAAAAAGCGGCAAAGTGGAAAAAAACGACATGAATTACAGAAAACTCACTTCGCTCACTAACACTCAAGTATGAGAGATACCAATAATTAGTGTAGTTTTAAGTAAGTGCAAATATCAGGCCTATGATCCGCATTTTTTTGACATGTTGCACTTAAGCCGGGTTATCAAAACTGCTTACTTCGCCGTATGAACAGTTGGTGCATGAAGTTAGCCAATTATTATGATTTTCTATATCTTGGAACTAAGTTTAGTTTTAGAAATCACAAGTTTGCAGATGGTCTTCAATGAGTAGGCAACATTTAGCTCAAGATTCTCTTGATGCACTTATATATTGCAATTAATCAACCTTAGCTCAAAGTGAAATACGTACAATTTTCTACACCGTTGCGATTCTATGCAAACGCCAGTAACCAGCTCTAAAAAGTGAAATAAAAAGGGAGAAATAAGCCTGGAATTCGTAAAAATCTTGCTTGCTGAAGGATTTGGTGTCTAAACTCCTTCCCATTGAGCCACAGACATTTGACTAACGACACAAAGTAGCCAGAAATAAAGCAGAGAACAGATCCTATGAAATTTATAATACTACAGATCGTGATTATAGCAAAAGTCGAGCAAGGTTGGAAAAAATTACTTTGTAGTACACTGCCTGCGTTCAGAAGCTCGCATGTGTAAAAACATCATAAGCAGACTTTTAATGCTATAGTTGTTTTGAAGGGGGACTTTTAATTAATTTGACTGACCAAGGCACTTGTGATCAGCTGCGTGGCGATCAACTTAGGGTTTCACTAAGTGTAAGAAGCCAACAAAAAACGTGCGAAAAAAATTAAAGCAGGGACGAGATTGAACTACGCAAAAGCAAGCAACAAATGAAAGCAGAAAGAAGCTCTTGACTTTCAAGAAAACAGCTCAATGAATAGCTGAAATAAACAGTTCGAACATTTTCTGGATAGATATCACAAGATTCGAATTAAGGACCTCCCGGTCAAAAGTCGTCGGACTTTTCCACTAAGGCTGAGCTGCTGATGTTAAGTTACTTTTCACGCATGCCTTGATAGTAAAAAGTATGTAACAGTGAATGCCCTTTAATTACGCGAATATATAGCTAAATTTTTTGCTAAACAGAAACTATGAGTAGACGCGTAAACTGAACTTGATCACAGGAGGTTGTAACAGGGTTAGAAAAGAATAGTTCTCATGACAGAAGCGTTGCTAAATAAACTCGAGTTAGAAAACAAAACGAAATCAATGCTCTGAACAGCCCCAAAAGTTCGAAAATGCACTATAGAGCAAGATGAGCTTTTTCCACCCGAAAGTATACACCCAGGGACGGATCTAAGAATTTCTTGAGGAATTTTCGAAATCATGATCAAGGAATTTTCGAAAATTTTTTTAGGTCGACCAAAATGATTTTCTGAGCTCTAAAAAGGCGGTTTTTGGAAAACTTGAAACAAAAAATCGCGTTTTTTCGGCGCGCGCTCCCCCCTTAAAATTAGAATATTTTGGCCCCAAAGGCGCCTTTAGAAAAATTTGACAAAAATGGATATCTCAAAATAGTTCAATGGGTCGGCAGTGGGTCGAATCCCTGAGAAGTGATCCCTCTCCCCAGTCTAAATCCGCTGGGGTACACACCTCAAAAATGTTCACAGGTCATCGAATGATGTATCATATTAAAGCTCTTTCAGTCGTAGTTCATATTTATTCATTCCATATCTGATTTCTCGATTTTAGTCAAAATTAGCGAACGCTGAAGCTGATTTCCATTTTTAGTTGCTACGAAAACAATAGATGAAAAATTCCAAAAAAAAACAATTAAAATTGATATATGTTTTTCATTCACAGCAACTGATTACACTTGTTTTAATTTGATATTACAAGAACAAGCTAGATCATCGTGCCGCTGATTCAACGCTACATGCTTTGATGGGCAGCAATCGTCTCAAAATGAAAACCTAATCACTTTTCATTTCGAGTACTTTTTGTTGCTCACTACATTAGCATTTCGAATACTAGCGAACTTCTAATCATTTGGAATACATTCAAATCAAATTCTCGTTTCTTTTAACTACAAATTGGAAAGTTCTGCTTCGAAAACGTTTAATTTTTCTTGTTAATACTTGGAAGCACGTTTGAACTTTGCGTAACTCAGGATTTAAAAAAAACATCACACTTGGCCTGTAGCAGCCAGATCCTTCGCAGGGTGCAATGCCAGACACAGAATATCATCCGAGTGGCCATTGTAGAACCTCTGCACATTCGTCTTTCTATCTAGCACTATTCCTAATGCAGCTACATGGTACACCACTTCGCCCGATGACATTAGAAACACGTTGTTGCGACAGTCATACCCACGGTACCTGAAGAAATAGTCTTAGAAAGTGAGCAGACATTTCCTCTAACACGCTTTCGTCAGCGAGGGAGAGAGATTTGTTACTAGGTACAAAATCCGCATAGGATTAACCGTTGTATTAGTTCTTTGTAGGGGTGGCAATTCTTTACTAGATATCATAAGGGGGAAATAGTTAAAGAGATCCCGCTTTTGCACATCCAACACGTATATGCTGCTTCATTAATTTCCAATAATGAAATCTGATTTTCTGCTATTAAGCATGTCAAATCATTTAATTATCTTACCCAAAAACATGATCCAGCACCAGACCAGTGCAAGGAGCCTGCTTCAGCTTAGCTACATTCTCTCCATTTCTCAATCCTCCGCCTTTCTGGGTTACCAAATTTGCACTCTTAAAAGTATCTTGAGTTGATTCTTTATTCACGAATCGATCATAATTTTGTTCGGCTTCTCGCTCTATGTCCGAGTCCAACTCGCCGACATTCGACAACTCCGAGTCGCTTCCCTCACTGTCTGACCATCCTGCACCACCATTGACTAAGGATTCGCTTTCTTGGACCTGTAATCATTAAGCATTGAAAATCAAAGAGTGACAATTGTTCAACAAAGGGGCAAAGCGGAGCTTCGCAGCACTTGCGATACAATATAAACATTTTAATTACTACCTGAAACGAACTAAGGTTTTATTTGAATTTTCAAGATATTGAGGATGTCAGCCTGCACGCGAAGGTGAAAGTAACTCCGGTAACTACACGTGCTCCGAGCGGATTTTAAAAATTTACAAGAAAAGTTGTATACGGGGAACACAAGGTCTAGTTCCCGATAAAAAGTCATTCGCATATGAAAGTATTACTCAAACTCATTGACTTAGTTTTACTCAGAGAAAATCAGGTTCCAAATAAAACTCGTATTATTTATTACAATTCTATTTTTTGCAGAATCATAACGTTCGAGCATAGACAACAGATAGTTGGAAAAGATTCAATGAACGCAAGGAAACAAAAGAAAACTTATCTGTTTTTTGAAAAAAACTTCACTTTTCAAATTCAAATAAAAATATAGGGTCTTGAAGCTCTTTGAATTTATAAGGCAATTTATGTTTGACTTTTATGAAAATTTTCAACCAATTTGAGAAAACTATCAATAGATAATTTTTTTATTCCGCTGGGAAATCAGCAAATTAAAATGCACTTTCGAAACTAGAAGCCGATCACGTGTGTCGTGATTTTTACACTTTTGCTGTTTGGGAGTTAAAAAGTTCAATGATGAATAAGTGACGGAAAAAAATCGAAAAAAGACAAGAGTTTTTTCATCATTTTTTTCTTTTTATCTCCCCACGCGGTATTAAATTAAGAATGGTGTAATTAGCTTCTCATATTGTTTTTAACGAAGGCGAAGCTTTGCTTTGCAAAAACACGACAAAAAGCAGCTCTATAAAGCGCAATAATAAAAATAAGAAATAAGCATCGAATTAGAAAAAATTTCGACGACCTCTGAGATACGAACTTGCGACCTAGAGATTAATAAACTCACACACTACCCACTCAGCCACGGAAGCTTAAAAGGGATCAAATACTAGCCACAAATTAACCAGAGAACAGATGCGTTGCAATTTCCAATGCTACATTAAAATCTCCAAACAAGTGAACACTTTTATTTACCAGTTAGGTTAGAAAAAAAAGAAGGTTCGTAATAACAGACTAAGCTGATCGCAAGTGTAAATAAGACTTAGTTGCTGGTCATTGAGTGTATTAATAGCTTACGCTTGTTTCAAAAACGCAATATATCGCGCGTTAATTATCCAAAAAGGGTCAAACTAGCAATGCTGATTCAAACTCCCGCGAAGTTACGAAAAACGATCACAAGTGAAATATCGTTTGAAATTTGAGCTTCAGACACCAATATCTTCCAGATGGCATAAAAAACTCTGTCAGAAATTGTTAATTAAAAAGTCGCAAATTGACTAACGAAAAGCCAGTTCAAGCATAATTATTCCGCTCTTCGAAAATCGGAACAAAAAACTCAAGGCTGAATTATTAATCCAACAAATATTTTTAGCGATTACTCAAATTACTAAAGTGAGCATTGCAATATCACCTGTTCAGTTTCATTTTCCTCCTCATTTCCAATCAAAAAGCGCCACTGGAACACCGCGTGATCAGCACCTCCCACAGTAATCACTCTTTTCCTGTCACTCGTGAAACGAACATTAGTCACATGCGCCGAATGTCCCGTGTACTTTTTAAACTTGGCCCCTTTTTTGAACGTCGGAAACTTGAACAACTTGACTAAACCGAAGTCGTCTCCAGTTACACAAACACCTTGTTCGAAGTTGACATCTATTGCGTTGACATCGTTGGTATCAGTGTATTTAGCCCAAATTCCAGCCACTTCTTGACCCAACACGCCAGTCCAAGTATGCCATACTATTTTGTCAATTTCGTCCTTGCTTGTTAATCTTTTTCCGCCTGACAACAATTAATTATAGTCAGAAGTGTCCGTTATGATAAATGACTAAAATACAAAAACCTCCTGATTTTAACTATCATATCATCTCCTGCTCTGGGAGAAAAAAAAACGATTCCTGACCTATCAAGTTCCTTTAATATTTTTTTTCGGTAAAAAACGCGAACCCGTTTATGGAAACAAATAATTGATTTATGATAAATTGTTAGCAGTATAAATCCAAAGTTAACCAGTCATGTTTATTCATCCAATCAATCTTTTGTCATGAAATAACCAAGTTTGAGAGATCGCCATTTGACAAATGACAACCATTTCTGGGGGAATTTCAAATCAAAATTTTCCGGAAGTTTAAAGACTACAAAATAATAAAACTTTGAAGTCTTTTCTTATGCTGTAGCGAAACAAAAAGAAAGGGATTCCCGATCATTTGAGCCCAAGACATTTATTACCCAATATTTTCACCACAACGCCGTTATATTAAAAAAGAGGATGGTGACTAGAACTAACTGGGCATTTTGTAGACTAGTCTCTCTGCAGCTCCACTGTTAGTCTGCAAATGTTTCCCATCTTGCGACCATTCAATGTGAGTGATAAAACTGGAGTTACCAGAGCACTGTCCAACTTTCTTCCAGCTGAAAAAGAAAAAACTGTTATTCAAAATGATCCACATTTGTTCATACGGCAAATTGCATGCAAAAAGTATTGTTAAAACCTGTTCACACGCAGGCATGTTTTACTGCAGTTTAGAATTTAAACCTAATTTTGAAGTCGCTTTCATAAATATAATTTTGGAGCAAATCAAATGCCGTCGGAACCAAAAGAGAGACTTCAACCTGACTTTCAAACAGGTATGTAAAGATCGAAGGAATCCTCAGCTTTAATTAGCCATATATGGCTTTAAATTAAAAACACGCAAATTGTTGCCATTCGATACAAAGAGAAACAAAATACACACAAAAAAGAGACAGTCAACACATGAAGACAATCAGAAACTGAAATACAAGCTTTTTTTCACGTGCCTCTACTTCAGTGTTTGAGTTTTCATAAAAAGTAGGTTTGAGGGAGTGTCGAGTTGGCCCAGCAGTAGTCACATCCAGGATCGACTGTGAGTCGAACCCAGGTTGTTTAGTGAAAGTGAGAAATGCTTCAGGCTCATGTCAGAAACCACTGCGCCACGGCTCCCTCGATTTACTAATAATTGCAGTTTGTTTTATTTGGAGTCTGTGGAGACAATGTTACTATTGCTGTTTTGATTGCTTTGAACTATTTATACTATTACGTCATTGAATTCAATCGCTTCAATGGTAAAACAAGAGCTCCAATGAGAAATATGTGCATCTCTACTGTGCATTACCTTCAGTGTAATTTGACTACAAATAAGACTGCAAGTATTAGTAAATCGAGGGAGCCGTGGCGCAGTGGTTTCTGACATGAGCCTGAAGCATTTCTCACTTTCACAACACAAACCAGAGTTCGACTCCAACAATTGGCCGAGCCTTGGTGTGATTACTACTGGGCCAACTCGACACTCCCTCAAACCAGCTTTTTAAAATTAATTATTCTTTTTTGGATTCAAATAAAATTCAACCCCTTTGGATTCAAAGAAAATTCAACCCCTCGTAGGCATGGATAAAAAGACTATATACATCGGAGAGTATACTTTTTTTAGACTCAAATGTATAATTCAACATTGTGGATTACTTACTTAGCAAAAAATCTAGTTTTTCTCACTCAAAACTTAGCTAACTACAACATTTATTTTATTTGATAAATTATTAAAATTAATCTATTAAAACCTTCAATAATTTTTTAAAAATCAAAATCAAATGCAGACATATACAATCAACGTTTTTGGAGTCTACTTAACAATCTCCCCCCCCCCCCGATAGTATTTACAAAAGAATCTCTATCCTTATAAAAAAAGTACAGTAAATTACCACTAGAGCTTTGTATTGAGAATTCGAATTTTTCTTAAAAGGGGGAGATTGTTAAGTAGATCCCATTTTTGTTATGTCACAATATAAATTAGGTTAAGAGGGTAGCTTGGAAAAAATGGAAAGAAAAGAATTCAAGAGGTCGTCTTACTTGTGCAGACAGTCAAAAATATCCACGTAGTTGTCATTACTTCCAACTGCCAAATGCGACCCATCAGGCGAGAACTTCAATTCATGGATCACTTCGCTTCTAATCTGATCATTATGGATCTCGGATAAGTCTTTCGTTTTGAGCACAGAGAAAGATCCGTTTATGAAACCCACTGCGAGAAAGGCGGCATCGGCTGAGTAGGCAATTGAACGCGCTTTGTGTTCAAGGATTTTCTTCGAAAACACACCTCTTTCTAAAAAAGCAACCACATTGCCAGAAATTAAAGGGCCAAAGCCAGATTAAATTCTTTTCTCTCTGATTAAATTGATCTTCTTCATATTAGCAGACAACTAATACACATTTTTTGTGACCGAAATTGAACTTAATTCGCTCATTTCTTTGAAACCGTACGTTCATCGGGTAATAAACGTTAATTGTTGAAGTTTTAATGCGGTAAAAATATATAATTAAGAGAAACCTTTCACCTGTTATGCTCCACTGTTGAATACTACAGTCATCTGAACAGGTCGTGAAATAATTTGCCTTGGTGGTGTGAGTAGCCAAAGCCCACAACTCCCCTTCTGAGTGACCTTGAACCAGAAGACTGACCTTATCGGTCGAACGAGAACTTAGTTCAAACACTTCTGAATTTTGGGTTCCCACCAGGATTCGATCGTCCTTCCAAGATACACTTTTCACACACAGACCTAAAAACGAAACGATTGCATCAATTGCACTTTTCCAATCGTCAGCCCTCATTGAAATAATCAAAAATTTGAGCAGGTAAAACTCAGAGTTAATCAGTTATGAATAAACATTCATACATATATTCAACAGACAATTAAATATAACAAACAGACAGTTGGGAAAGAGTCAATAAACGCAAAGAAATCTAAGAACAACTGAATTATTTTTGAAAAACTTCAACACACTTTTCGATAAAACTAACAATTTGAAAAAACTGGATCAAAGCATAAATTTTTATTCTGCTGGGAAATCTTAAAATAAACACCAATTTCAGAACTAGAAGGCGTTCACGTTTTTTCGCGCCATTTCCACGTTCGTATTTGGAGAGTACAATTTACCTAACTTTCAGCAAATGACAATTTAATTAACTCAAACTGTGCATATATACCTAGGTGCACGCATAAATGCATTAATGTATGAATGCACATCTGTAGTTATAAGAAAATTTTATACTTTTTTCTCAAAACAAACACCCAACAAAACCACCAAGACCTATATAAGTCTCACTGCGTTCATCGACATTTAAAAATTGTTAATAAACAAGGATAAAAAGACTGACTTTTCTCCAGAAATCATTTTTCCAGCTCATTTTCGCTGTTTAGAAATTAGAAAATTTGATTGATTAACCATGTTTCGATAAAACTTTTAAAAAAAAGAAACGACCTGAATATGTCAAACTTAAACTTTGTACATCTACACTTGCCCAATGAAAAACTTATTGTTCAATGTAATTCTTTAAAATTCTCTTCTAATCGATTTCTTTCAAAATTTTCTTTCACTTTTTTAAGGTTCGTATTTGTTAAAGATGAGTTTTGATTCTAACAATTCAATTTGAGGAAGCTAAACAACTAGTCAAACTTTTTATTCCGCCGAAAAAACTAGAAAATAAAATCTACATATGAAACTAAAAATTCAGTTATTAAGCTTCAAGTCGCGCCGTTAAGATAAAAGGACAATTTATCGTTTTTTTAAGTTAATTTCAAGTCATGCCAAATATTAACGTTTGTTTTCTTCTTTTTTTTCATTTCGACTTTGGTTTCCATTTCTACTTTTGTATCGACAGATCAAATTTCCTTAAAAACCACTTTAAACACATTTTTTAAGCAAAACAAAAGTAGACCACAATTCAAAGTTGGATTACTCCAAACATTTTTCAATTTGCATCGTTTTTTGTTCGTGTGTTATGAGAGGCTCTTAAGAAAAACCTAGATCTTACGAAATTCCATAGTAATATGAAATAAAGCATATTCGATTTCAATATTAAATTAGGCTCATTCGATAGTAATAGTGTATAAAGCATATTCGATATTGATAGTAAATTAGGCATATTCGACAACCGTTTTCTCCGAAAATGGATAGAAAAAGAAAAAATCAAACATCTTTCTAAATTACTTTCAAATCTTGTGCAGAATGGTTTAGTGAATTTTTTTATTGCCAAGAAGGCGCTAAAAAATCCAAAAACAAACTTTATTAGAATAAAAACCCATTGCCCTGCCCTATTATACGCCTGCTCGCTCGCTTGAATCACCCGTGAAAGGTCTGTAATCTTAAGAATAAAAGCTTATTGCCCGATTATAAGCCTGTTGTTTATGGCACATTTGTTTTCCAGTTTGTTTTAGCTTTAAATTGTTTTAAAAGCTAAAACACTGGCAATCAAAGTACCTCCCTCCCGCTTTCAATGAACGGAACAAAAGTAACCATTTGTTGTTAAACCCTTGACAGTTTTACAAGCAGGTATGAAGTTGATAAGTTAATATATTGAGTTGGAAAACTTTTGAAATCGAGTTTTTGTTTTACTGTTGTTTGTAAATAACTTTTTTTGGTTCATTTGATGATTTAGAAATGCAGAAATGTCATTTGATGATTTAGATATAGAAATGTCGAAGCACATGCCATCAAAAAAAGGCACTAACATTTGCTACTTGAATTGAAAAAAAAAATAATCGGACTATTATACTAAGCTCGCTAAAGCTACGCTAGTGCCATTACAATCAATCATTTGAAAATCCCTAGGGACTGTCAGCCCAAGCAAAGTCTAATGCGATTTATCGGCGGATATTCAACAAACCGTCCTATCTACAAACTGCCATATCTTCAAGCCGAAATTAGGTCAGAATAACATAAATTGCATCAGAATTACGCAACAATTGTTTCTTTATTGCTTGACAATATTAATTTTCGGCTTGTTGGATGGGTAATCTTAATTTCGGTTTACTGTTCCTTCGGCTTGTTGGCCTATCACCGATTAATCATTTGCAAACTCCAAGGGACTGTAAGCCCAATACGTGTCTAATGCGACAGACCGGTACTCCCAACATGTAGAGGGATATTCTGTTTTCTTATAATGTTAATTCTAATAAGAGCTTGAAATGTATTTTCATTTTTGGTTGTTTACTCTAAATTTTCTTGTTCTACATGATTTTCTAACAGGTTCGGACTACAGGGCAGCCATTTAAACTCAAATAGATTCGTGGGCTATCCTCTCAGAAATATGAATTGCCTTTATTTTTGTTAAATGTATATTTGTAACTAAATAATGAGAAATGAACCTTAATATTTTTTCTATATTTGAAATTATTAGTATTTTTTATCGTAAACAGTAAAGTTCGAAATTCGCCGCTCGACTTCTAAACTATTTTATTGACGTTTCAGCTTAGTTTGTAAACAATTTTAGAATGTTTGCGACCAGGAGGCTGCAATTATCATCATTCGACATCCAGCTAGATATAAAAAAATTATTGCATGAGTTGAAAAATACTACCTGGGTATCCTTGTTCAGTGTCCATCAGATTGTACTGCTGAATGACATTGAAGTTCAAGTCCAGCAGTCGAACATGGCCATCTTTGCCCCCAGTAACGTATCCATTTACACACGAGCTCATACAGAACACAGCACCCTATCAATATGAAAAGTCCATGAACTGACAATTCGTTGCTGTTCAAAAAGCGACAATTAGGGAAAGCAGTGTAACCGATTAGTGTTTCAAAAAGTATTCATAAAATTTAAATTTTGCGGTGTAAAACAACCCGATTCTCAAGCCTTAGCTGAGTTGATATGGAATGTTTCACAGAAATATTGTTTTTGGAACCTTATAATTTGGATTCCGAAGAGTAATGGCTCTATGCTCGTGGTGGTTTTTATTCAGACCAATTTCGCAAAACTCTTGTTCCCTCAGTAGAACGAGCCCTTGATCTAAATGGGCCCAGCGAGGTGAGCACAGCACGATACTATTGTAACCTGCCACGAGGCTGTTTAAACTGCTCGGAATATACTTCATACGTGGAGAATTATACCGCACTGCAAAATCGTTCCCAATTGAATTGAGACAAGCTAATTGGTCTAATTAATTTCATATACGACTCAAATTTTAACACAAGTTTGACATTATCAGCCTGAAATTTATAGTTTTGCCTATATTTAATTCACCAAAAACAATTCGAGGCCAATTAATGGGCAGTCGGGACATTCAGCGCTTTGCCCTGATACGAGCAGTCTTGTTCGTCTTACCTTATGCAATTGATGAGCTTTCACCAGTTTATTCTCCTCAAACTGATACACCATTCCGTTCAAAGTACCCGCCAACACATTCGCGTATCTGTCGAAGGAGAGCGTCAGAAATGTCTGGAGGGGTGCCACAGTTCCCATCACGCCACTCTTGCCTGCTAGAGTGTTTCCGGATAGAGTCCAGAACTTGATGTGTTTCACTCCACAAGTGACGAGACGGGAGTTATTGGTTGGGTTGAATTTCACCTCTAACACCTGTTTAAACAGAAGAATGAAGTAAATGATAAACAAGTGAAGTTGGTTGCTGTGTCAGTCAGAAGCACAGAATGTTCCGACCACATTAGAGTTGCAAGCAAAAAACAGAACGAATTTTTGAAAATATTTTTGAAAGATTGGGCTGACTTTTCTGAAGGAAATTACCATTCAGCTTCAAATGAGAAATTAAAATACGATTACAATAATAAGTAATTATTCGCACTGGTAGCAGACATTCGCGAATTTCTCTAATCGGGGAAAACCGTAAATTCGGAATAGAAAAATATCTTAATGAAATCAAAATTATGACTAAAACCAATTATCAATTAATGCATGTTTTCGACATTTTATAGTATTTAAAACTTAGACACTAGACAACGACTTAAAAATGTACAGGAAGAGCGTGCAAAATATACACAGAAGCGTAGCTGAGCTTTGCACCATTTGCGATACGAAAATGAATGACTATGATTAAAATCAAACGGAAAAAAAAAACGTTTTTGTCATTAAAAATTGCAACAAAAGCCCGAAATACACGAAAAAACCTGCACCATTGAAAAAATACACGAATCATTCCGAATGATAGAAAGAAGCCGAATATTAAAAAAACGGCTTTTGTGGAATTAAACCGACAAATTTTCAGTATGCGAAAAAAGCAGATCTCGACTGGAATCGAACTCCCGGGCTTTGTCATCAAGCATGGGTGTTACAGCAACTTGCAAGAACGCTGAACCTTCAAAAAAATTGGGCTACGGGAACTAAGCCGACAAAAATAAACAGACTGACCATTGTCAGAAAAAGCGCAAAGAATCAAGAAGTTGTGATTTTCAATTTATAATTACCAAGCGGTAACCAAGCCAAAAATACTTGAAAAAGAAGATGAACTTTTTTTCGTCTTGAAGGATTTCTGATCATTTTCTTTTTCAAGTATTTTTGGCTTTGTTACCGCTTGGTAATTATAAATTGAAAATCACAACTTCTTGATTCTTTGCGCTTTTTCTGACAATGGTCCGTCTGTTTATTTTTGTCGGCTTAGTTTCCGTAGCCCAATTTTTTTGAAGGTTCAGCCTTCTTCCAAGTTGCTGTAACACCCATGCTTGATGACAAAGCCCGGGAGTTCGATTCCAGTCGAGATCTGCTTTTTTTCGCATACTGAAAATTTGTCGGTTTAATTCCACAAAAGCCGTTTTTTTAATATTCGGCTTCTTTCTATCATTCTGAATGATTCGTGTATATTTTCAATGGTACAGGTTTTTTCGTGTATTTTGGGCTTTTGTTGCAATTTTTAATGACAAAAACCTTTTTTTGTCCGTTTGATTTTAATCATAGTCATTCATTTTTGTATCGCAAATGGTGCAAAGCTCAGCTACGCTTCTGTGTATATTTTGCACGCTCTTCCTGTACATTTTTAGCTATAACTTTGTTCACAGGACTCATCTGGATCCCTGCTGGTACATTGGTTCTTAATGAATTGAAGTTGCTTAGTGTATCCTGCACACTCAGCCTGGAGGTAACGAAAACGCCTGGGACTGCAAAGGTCCTGGGTTGAAATCTGACCAGTACCTGTTTTTTTAAAACTGAACTTTTCTGTTTCAAATAAAATTGTCGGCCTAATATTTTTCTGCTTATATTTTGTCGGCTCAATTGCCTCATCTAAGAATCGTTTTTTTATGTAAACAATTTTCATTGTTGCTTTGTATTTTAGAATCTTAAAAATCTGGTTGAATCGAAATTTTATTTTTTCATTGACTTGATCAGAAATCCTTCAAGACGATAAAAAAGTTCAATTCAATGAAAAAATAAAATTTCGATTAAACCAGATTTTCAAGATTCTAAAATACTAAAAGCAACAATGAAAATTGTTTACAGCAAAAAAAAACGATTCTTAGATGAGGCAATTGAGCCGACAAAACATAAGCAGAAAAATATTAGGCCGACAATTTTATTTGAAACAGAAAAGTTCAGTTTTAAAAAAACAGGTACTGGTCAGATTTCAACCCAGGACCTTTGCAGTCCCGGGCGTTTTCGTTACCTCCAGGCTGAGTGTGCAGGATACACTAAGAAACTTCAATTCAATAAGAACCAATGTACCAGCAGGGTTCCAGATGAGTCCTGTGAACAAAGTTATTTTGAGGAAAAAGTCAAGTACCCATTGCTATAACCTTGCTTATCGCAAGGGTAATCAAGCACTTCAATTGTAGCTTAAAGCTACCATATTAGCCATAATTAAATGGTTAAATCAGACCTTTTTCAACCAAATTGATTCGACAAATTGGTTATTAGTTCAATAAGTTTATCAGACCATTGGTAAAACTAAAAACCAACACAGGGGCAAAGCTGTGCTTCGCAAACACTAGCGAGAGCCCGACAACATCAGTTCTTCGAAGTACAAAAAGAAAAAATAGAAACAAGCCTCGAAGTGATAAAAATTCGGCTAGGTCACGGATTCGATCTGCGACCTACGGCGACCTAGAGAATATGAGTCTCACGCACTAACCACTCAGCCACGGACGCTTGCTTACTCACAAACAATAGCCTCGAATAAAATAGAGAACAGATGCTATGAAATTTCCAATGCTACAGATGGTGATTATATCAAAACATAGCCAATCGAAGATTGGTGAAGAGTAATGAACGCAAGTAAACATTAAAAAAAAACACTGAAACATTGAAAAAAAACTCAACTTTCGAATTGATGCACTTTAAGCTCTTAGAATTTCTGGAACAATTTATGAGCGGCACTTTTTTGATAACATGAACCCAACTGGAGAAAAATGGACCAATAGGTAAAGTTTTTATTCCGCTGGATATCTAAAAAATTAAATTCCACTTTTGAAACTAGAAATCGTTCACATTTTTTGCGCCATTTCCACGTTCGTATTTGGAGAGTGCTATTTATGTCACTTTCAGCAGATAAATTTCAATTGAACTCAAAAAATGCATATATACCTAAGTGCATCAATATTTTAAGACTTTTTCCTGAAAAAAAAAACAAAAAAAAAATCAGCAAGACCTATATAAGAGTCTTCACTACGTTCATTACTCTTAAAAAGCCACCAAATAATGAACACTTAGCCACCAAATAATGAACACTTTTATTTGCAAGTTACTTAAGAAAAAAAAAGGTTCGTACAAATACACTAACGCTCGCAAGTGTAAAAAATGTTAATCGTTAAAAAAATACAATAAAAGGGTTAATTCTGATCCTAAAATGTAAACCCCCATAACGAAAATTAAAACTTGCCCAAAGAGCTCGAAGGTATACATAATAGCGAGTTTTCTCTAAAGCAGACCGTACCTTGTCTCCATGGGTTCTGTGCTGTGCGATGATCCGACCTTTCTTCCAGTCCCAGATACACATTGAATGGTGGTCATCGAGACCCACGCTTGCCAGGAGCTAGAAACAAACACTACCAGAAGTTAACACACATATCTAAACTAAACGCAATTTGAGGGATTAATATAAATCAATAAGCGTTCATGCAATTTTTGTAGCTAGTGTTTGGGACTAGCGATAGATATTACGAAACCACGAAAGCTCAGAAGATGGAATATTTTACACACTGTTTTACTATTAGTGAAAAAATTTTGTTAACAGGAAATAGCATCCGGTTCTCTTAAAGCGAACAAACAAAATGCTTTGCCCCAATTCAAGTCAACAAAGTGAATAGCCAAAACTGAAATATCCCTTAAAAAAATTGACGCTACCCTCAAAAATGCCTTCAAAAAATCGGCATCCAAGAAAACGCAACTGACTGTTCCATCGTGACTGAAATCTAGTGCCGATATTCCTCTCTGGTGGCCATTCTGAAGAAGTGACTTCACTTCGCAGTCCTTTGAGTCCCACACACATACGAAGGGGTCTTTGCCTATCTGACCAGATGCGAACAGATCCCCACTTGGATGCTGACACAAACTAAGCATGTGAAAACCCTTAGTTAGAAAAATATGGAAAGTTTAAAAAATGCCTTTTCTGGGATTTCTAACTTTTTTCGGTGAGGTTTTTTTCATGCTATTTCCTTTCTTAAGCAAAATAGAACCAAAAAATGTAAATTTTTTTGACGAATTACTTCAGACGTGTTATACTCGTCGTGTAACGTCTAAAACATCGTCAATTCTCTTTGGTATAAACTAATTATACAAAAGAATATTTATCACCATTTTTTCTCGACACTAGAGAAACGTTTTAAGATTTTTTTGTTGCGAAAATCACGGCGGAAAGGGCTTGAATATGATTATCTATCGACCATTGAAAATTCAAAAAAGCATTAAAATGGTCCTCGTTAAAGAATTTATAATCATATAAAATATCATGAAATCCCATCGAATGAAAAGGCTATAAAATGATGAACATGATCAAATCTTTTCATTTTAAAGATGACAATAATGATTTTAAGCCTGTTATCAATTTTTAAACTTACCACAAAACATCATCACTATGTCCCAGAAAGAATTTCTGTCTATGTTGCAGAACATCATACACAATACACACTCCGGCTACAAAATACACTATCTTATTATTTGCTTGTTGGTTCGGAGCAGTCTGGTCATCGGAAGTTTCTGTTGAAGCGTAGAATAAGTTGTTGTGACATTGATGACCTCTATACCCATACACCCACTCTAATCGCAGGTGTGAATTCGGAGCCAATCTGTCCATTATTTTTCTAAGTATCGAGAATTCGATTTTATGGCGTTTACTTACGAATGATGATTTATATGCTACATTTATTTATCTAAAATAAATTCAAAATTCCTTTTTTAAACTTTTAGACAAAAATCTATTCATATAGCGTAATTATGGGAAACTTATTCAGGCTCATAATCATTGAACTTTACGGCTCCTCGAAGGTCAAAAACAAGGATCCAGCTGGATAACGCTTAAAATCATTTTTAATCTAGTTTCACAATTTATTTCACAAACGTCAGTAAAATTTTGTTGAAATTTTTGCAATACTAGAAATAAAATCTTTCTTTAAAATGCTCTCATTTCCAGATTGAAAAAATCCAGTTTAAGAGATAGGCAGACAACTGTGGAACCCAAAATGCAAAGATTAAAGTAATTAATTAAAAACAATTACGTAATTTCTCAAAAAAAGTCAAAAAAGGGACAGTGAGCTTTTGGGGACACGAGTTATCATCAACTTTTCACCTTCCACAAAGCGTCACAAGCTTAAACAAAAATATATGCCACGAAAACATGTAATTCCGATTAAAAGTCTGGGACCAATGAAATTGCATACCGTAAAAAATTTTAAAATCATGCAAGCTTAAGAAAGATAGTCAACCGAGACTTGAAAAAAGAAGGTTTGAAAACATTCAACGAACTCAAGGAGAGAGACTTGAAAAAAAGAGGGTTTGAAAAATTTCAACGAACTCAAGGAAACTGAAAAACAAGACTGACTTTTCAACTTTCTAGATTCAAAGAAAAATATATCACTTACAGCTATTTGAAACAACAAAACAGTAGCTCCAAAAGGTAAACATAGCCAACAGACAGTTGGAAAGGAGTCAATGAACATAATTTAACAAAAAAAACTGATATGTCAATCATGTTTTTCTGAAAAAACGAAAAACTGAAAAAACTCAATCAAAAAACTTAACTGAGCTTGCCAAAGACTCAGTTAAAAAGCTTGCCTGTTTAACTGAGCTTGCCTTTTAACAAAGAAAATGAACTGAGCTTAAAAAAAACTAGAAGTCAAACCGCGGAAAAGTACATTTGGATCTGAAAAAATTTCTAGACTTCCTGGAAAAAAAACCAAAAAACATCGCGGTCTATCTAAGTTCATCGACTCTTAAAAAAAGAAAAGTGAGGGTAGAAATAAGCCTTAGAAGATGAAACTTATGCAATGAGTAGCAATCAAAACTCTGACTGGAAGATGACGTGTTTCACCGCTGCGCCATGATCGCTTGAAAATAGGCAAACATAAGTTAACAATAAATCAGATAGAACGGATGCTATTCAACTATCAATGCTATACAGTTAAAATGCCACCAAATAAAAACTTTTTATTCGCAAGTTGGGTAAAAAGCGGCCTAGTAAAAAACACTACTCTAGCTAAACTTTTTATTCCGCTGGGAATTCTGAAACTTAAAATTCATCTAGAAACTAGAACTCCTTCATTTTTTCGCATCATTTTAACATGTTTTCGAGAGCAAAATTTGCTGCCATTTCAGTAAATAATTTTGACTTGAAGTTAAAAAGGAAAAAGGTACTTTTATGCTGAATAAAATTTGAACGAAACAAAAACCTGCGTTTCTAAAATACAAAATGATAAAAAACAAATTTCAGTCATTCTGGAATTTTGACCTGTGTATTAATGATTTTACATGGAGAATGATATATACCCGATTTTCAAAGTTTTGCAAGTTCTTTTTGCAAGTTCATAAGTTTTGCAAGTTCTTTTCGAGTTTGCTTCTTAAATTAAACAGACGCAAAGCTGCGCTTCGCAAACACTGGCGAGAACACGACCAAAAAGCAGTTTTATGAAACGAAATATGAAAAGATAGAAATAAGCCTTGAATTGGTAAAGCTTTGCTACGCATGCGCTTCGAACCTGCGACCTCGAGAATTGGAGTCTCACACCCTGCCCTCTTTTGCAAGTAATAGGTTGGAATATAGCAAACTGAAGGCATCCACACTAATTTTGCATATATTAAATTGAAAAGCATAAAGCCTCCTTAAGTGTAAATTTTGCTTTTCAAAAAGTTGCGAGACATTGCGTTACATAAGTTCTGAAATCGAGTTTTTATTAAGTTTATGTTGTTTGAAACACAACTTTTTTCGGTTCAATTGATGAATTTGAAATGTATCAACTGTGTTAACTTATTACTATTCGAATGTCAAAGCACATGCTATCAAAAATCCGTAAAAAGGCCCCAAAAGGGGCACCCATATTTGCGACTTAGGCTAGAAAAAAAGAATAGTTGTAAAATAAAAAACCGTAAAAGTGCCGTCAAAAAGACGTAAAACTGCTTCAAAACTGGCACCAGAATTTTAAATGTATTTAACTGTGTAAATTTATTCCTATTGGAATGTCAAAGCACATGCTATCAAAAGGCCGTAAGAGAGCCCCAAAAGTGACACCAATATTTGCGACTTAGGCTAGAAAAAAGAATAGTAGTAGTATTTGGGATTTGAAGACTGCCAAAAGGGCAGTTTAGGAGAAATAATTCCTTTAGCCAGGCTCAGAAATCAAGCCGAATTGGATAGAGGCTAGTTTACTGATCAAGCATTGCATTAATAAAGTCAGATTTTACCAATATGTATTTTTGCACCATAAGCGAACTTCAGACTCGGCAGTTCAGTTGCAACGGAACAATCAAGGCTTCGTACTGATACGATTTTTTTTGAACATTTCGAGTTAAGATCTAGGATAACCTCGACTGAAGAGCCCATTGCTTATGCTTTTTGTATGCCATCCGTACTAAGCTTCGCATATTTTACTAACTCCAACTTTACACAGAGACGCTTCTTCCTCATGAGAATGTTTTTAGTCCTTTTCTTTTTCAACGACGTTACATTTAAGCTCCTATTCCTTGACGCGGACGGAATCAAAACCTCATACTGGATCTAACAAAAGTTCACTTCTAAATATTTATTTTCCAGCGAATATGACAATACATTCGAGAAACCATTTATCATAAATTCGCCTGGGACAAAAAGGTAGCATATCAATTGATTTAAACTTTGAATTCAACATTAAAGTACTAAAGTTTAACTGCAACAGTGATATTGATGAACAATTAATTTATATAAACAACTGAGCCCGTTTTAAAAAAAGCGACACTTCAACCACAATTTTAACACATCTCAAACATTAATGGCACGGCATATGCAATAAAACACATATCATAAATATATTTGTGCACTTTCATTACACAAACAATAAACTCGGTCAGAATAATTTTTATACCCAGATCCTTCATGATCAACGACCTAGAAAAAATAATAATAAGACTCCATTTCTACTGTTTATGAAACTGATAATTCATTATATAACCAAGAATTGCTGCACGTAAGCTCAGGCTACAATTTAAGCACAAAACGCAAATATGAAGAATAATATCGACCAAACTTAGTGGATTACTCACCAAGTTACATTAACATCAGACTTAGTAGAATAGTCAACAAAATTGCATAAATATTCAGCAAAAAAGTTTCAACCCTGTAAAAACTTCTGTTGACTTGGTATTATATGTTCATAAAATGAGATTTATAGACACTTTTCCACATGATAAAACAAATAATATGTACATGTAATTATTGGGTATTTCTTGACTAAGTTACGTTTTTAGGTCAATTTACTAGTTCCTTCCAAAATTATTTAATAGATCAGATCGAATCTCATTTGCTTAACATTGTTTCGAAAATTTCACCCCTCGATTACGTTCAAGTAATCAGATTCATGAAACTTAATTTATTTGCAAATTTTCAGACCTCCGAATCTGGTCTGAATTAGTAAAAAGACCCTCATTTTGTTGAACTATTACGCACTAAGCCCGCGCTTATGCAAAGCGTGAATAACTTTGTGATCAAACTACCATTTCTTTTTCTGCTCATCCATGCTAACGCCTCCAGGGCCTAGGGCGACGACCATTAGAAGTCCCCCAACTATTGAAAGGGTCTGGAAAAAGTCATACTTGAGGAAATCTCGATAGACTCTTCCGTATGGTACTGACCAGAAGTTGTTGAAGTAAAAGTTCATTAGAAACAGCCATACAGAGAGAATGAGTGCGGATAGTTTTGTCTTGTAACCCACAGCTACTAAAGTCATCAGGGCTGCTTCGAACACCATGACCTTAAATAAATCAGGATCATATGAACTATGGCCTAAATTAATCAGACCTTAAAAGAATTATGACCTTAAATGAATCATGACCTTAATGCAATTATGACTTTACTTGAACCATGAAATTAAATGAATCGTGACCTTATATAAATCACGACCTTACAAAATCACGATTTTAAACGAACCATGACCTCAAACGAATCTCGAACTTAAAGGAATCATGACCTTAATGAATTACGATATGACCTTAATCCATGGCCTTAAATTAATTACGATATGAATGAATCATGGCCTCAAATACATCCTGACATAAAATCTACAACTTAAAGCATGAAGTACTCTTATTTTGTATGTGAAAATATTTATTTCGCTCAGAAAATTAATTCAGATACATTTGTCTTGAACTTTTATCTAAATTTAATCGACTTTTCATGAAGCTACAAAAAAGTGAAGAGTATGTGAATCATTCAAGAGCATGACTGGTCCTACAAATCAAAAAAGTGTTTGCACCTGTTATTTTAACCTTTTGACACAGAGGCTGAAGTTGCACTTCGCATGCACAAGCAAAAATAAGACTGACAACGCTACTGGGAAAAACTGAATAAGTAAAACCATGAGTCTTCAAAATTTCTTGAGTGACTCATGCCAATTATGACGCATTAGCAGTACCAGTCAATTTAAAAAAAAACAAGAAGGCTCGTATCAGAGCAAAGCCCTGAATGTTCCGACTGCCTTTTAAGGTTTATGGAGCAGTAAAAACATTAAAAAATTAAATGTAATAAAAAAATCAAAAATTTTTTTCTCTAAAATTTAAATTATTTTTTATGAAAATCATCCCCCCACACGCCATATAAAGTACAAAAAGGATAGATTTCGCTGCTTGGAACCAATCAATTATGGCAAATAAGCTTCTTTCAACCAATTTGGAATGATTTCTAAGAACGACTAACTCTCCGCTTACGCTTTAATAGCGCGAAATCTATCGCGCGTTAATTGTCCCAAATTGGCAATCTTTAAACCCCCATAACTTTACGAAAAATGATCACAGGTGAAATATCTTTTCAAATTTGAGCGCAGGACAACAATATCTTTAAAAATAATTTAAAAATTCCGTCAAAAATGGCTAGTTAAAAAGTCGAAATTTGTCTGAAGAAAAAAAAACCCACGCCGAGCACAAATATTCCGTTACTTTCGTTACGAAAGTCGGAACAAAATAGTCTGTACTATTGCTGTACTTAATCGCTGGTTATTGATCAAAATGAAAACTTTCAAAATGAACACATTGTATCGCAACAATATTTGTGTGTTCATTAGATCTTCATTGCTCAAAATGAGGTTAGCTAAAAAAAAGGTGGTTCTTTTTTGAACAGAATTATAGTTAGAATTCAAAAATAGTTAAAATATTTCTTGTCTTTTTAACTTCAGCAGCGATTGAACAGTTTCTTACCAGGAGTCTAATAACGTGTAGGTCGAAGTGGAACAGACTGATGAACATGAGGATGAGGAGGATTCGACCAGTGAGTTGGAAGTATGTCTTGGGCTGCATGGAGGAGTTCATGGAAGGAATGCCCGCGAACAGACTCTTCGACTCGTGTTTGCACTCGGCCATCAGCAGCAAAAGACCGCCGATTAACGCTAAATTCCTTGAAAACCCAAAAAAAGTAAAAATCATGCAAAAGCTTGCATATTGTTCGAATATTCGGAACTAGTACAAACTGAGCTACTAGGGCGAAAATTCTCAAAATAAATACGGTTACAGAACACTTTTAAAGCTTTGTGATCTTGTGACATTTTTAATGTGTCAAATTCTCTATATATGTAAAACTGACCTCAGCTTAATTAAATTTTTATAATTATGCCTTTTTATTAATTAAATCATTGCATTATGATTTAGTACTTTCGAGCTATTAAACGCAGGTTATACTTCATCAGTAAGAATTAGACTCACCTCATAAGAAATCTGACTTCGTAAATGATGTGGTATGCGAATGTCTGAAATACAACAAGCAAGTTAGAAACCTTGAAACAAGACATCAACTTAATGATATCGCTTGCTAATCGCAGCAGTACTTAATTTTTTCTAATTGAAACAAAAGTTGAAACACATCATTATTTGCAATGAAAAGATGCCTTGTATTTTTAAGCAAGAAAATCATCCCACTTCATTGGGACACACACTTGGGGCCAAAATTGTTGGTCATTCAGAAGTCAGCACTCAGGCGAACCCAGGTTTCTATAGAGGAGCGGGGTTTCAAAAAAAAAATTAGAATCTTACCGAACTTTTTTATAGGTTGAACAAAAAATTGCGTGAGTTGCACGCTCAGAGCTTAGAGAACAGTGAATCGAAGGGCAGGAAGAAAAAATAGCCATTCGACGAAAGAGAAAACAAAAACAAGGATAGCCGGTTACTGTGCAAGTAGCACAGAATGTTCCGAGCATAGTCTTTAGAAAACTCCGGTTCAGAAAGTTTTTTTTTCCAAATTAGTGTAGTTTTGTCTACTTGGTGTGATAAAAAGATCCGACTTTAAAATATATGTAAAGCATATTAGACAGTCATAGTAATATAGGCAAATTGGACAAAAATTTTTGTAGAAAAATGACTAGAAAAACTAAAAAACAAATTCGCAGAAAATTTTTGTTTTTTGGTGCAGAAAATTTTTGAATTTTTTTTGAAGTTTTAGGTTCCCAAAATGAAGTTTAAAAAAATCCAAAAACTAGTTTTACTTGCTTAGAATTAGGTTTTATGGTCTCAAATTAGGCATAATTCAGCTGTTGTAAGCCTGCTCGCTTGCTTTATTTGCTCGAATTAAGATAACATCAAACTTTTCAAACCAGTTTTTCTCGACACTATAAAAATATTAGGATTTTTTTTGAATGTGGTTCGAATCACGACTGAAAGGGCTTCATTATGATATATCACTCAACCCAGTCCAAAATTCGAAGAAAAAAAGCTCACGATTGACAACTATTTGATAAAATTAACCCTCTAAGAAAAATGGACCAATAAGTAAATTTTATTCCAATAACGAACACGGGCTGAGTTCACATTAAAAAAAGTGAAAAAAATCAGCGATTGCCATTGATAAATTATCGATTTTCATTGCCACAGCAGCAAACTATATCGATAGATTATCGCTAATTTGGCTAATTTTCAGCAATGAAACAGCGACAAAAAACTATCAAAATAAGAAAAAAAGAGAACTACCGGGGTTCCATCCCGCAACCATCAGCTTAGATATACACAAGTTATAGGGATTATTAACTCACACTCTCATTTAAAAGCTACTATAATTTCTTCAGTTTTAGAGCTGATTTTTTAGGGAATCATTACTGAAATTATGCCTGAATAAGCGCTGTAAAACAGCGATCATTGGAATACTACAGAAAAAGCAATAACTAATGGTGGGACTTCAACCCGGGATATCTGAAATAAAAAACTTATTTTGCAAACAAGAAGTCGATTACATGTTTCGTGACTTTTACACTTTTGCTATTCGATAGTGGCGCTTGCCATCCTTTAATAAAGGAAATGAACTGAGGATAAAAACATCAAACCCCCACAAAATCAAGTTTGCGAGTGAACAAATTTTAAAAACTTTCTCCTGAAAAAAAACCACCACTAATTCATCGTGGACAGTTTCCGGACGTTCATTGATCGAAAACGTGCAGCCGTGAGAATAGTTCCAGACAACCTAAGTTTAAAAAACCAACCTGTATAACTACAATGCTAAACAGCACGTATAGATTGTACTCTGCGAACTTTCTGGATATGATGAATCCACTGGGGATGAGTTGGCCCACTAAGTTGACAAACACGAACACGTGGCCCAAGAACTCACCACAGTTCCAAACACTGTTCATGTAATCCTTCTGTTCGCCCCATTGAAACCACATTCGGAACCTAAATAATTAAATTATCACGCGTCCCGGGGGCGACGGGATTAAATCCAAATGCACTTTTAAGCTTCCATTACTCGGTATAATGAACCAGGGGCGTCCGCCCCCCCCCCCCCCCCCCCCCCTCAGGGATTCGACCCCCTGCCGACCCAAAGGGTCCCCCCTTTGATACTTTTTCAGAAATCCATTTTTGGCCGACCGACCCTTAAATTTTTCTAAAGGCGCCTTTGGCGCCAATATATACTAACTTTGAGGGGGAGCGCGCGCCAAAAAAAACGCGATTTTTGTTGTCAAAACTTTTCAAAAAGGGCCCAAAAACGGCTTTTTGACCGTTTTTTCAAAAATTTGCCTGCGGCGCAGAAAATTTTGCCAAAATAGGGGCAAAACAGTGCTTTGGGAGAGCTCGAAAAATCAATTTGGTCGACCTAAAAAAAAAGGTCGCTAAAATTTTGGATCCGCCCCTGTAATGAACTATTTTAACATATCTACGCTTTCGTTTGCTCACCCTATTATGTAAACGATTTCATGTCATGTGTATGCACAATATCTGCACAATTTTGGCCCTGAGCTGCTTGCGCTAAATTATATTAATCCAGAATTGAATTAGAAAAGCTAACTGAATAAACTGGTGTTTTTTTGGTCCCTAAAAAGCCGTGGCTCCTAATAAAATTTCCTTAAAAGTAAGCAACGCGTTCGGTGAGTTAATTTCTAAGCTACGCATCTTAGACAGCAAGATGAATTGATTTTTGTCGAGAAAATTACAGTGTTAACTGGTCCGTGAACACGGTAGCCGCTTAGCATAATCAATTTTATTTATCGAAAATGTTTATCTTTGCGTGCTAGTCACTTAGCACGAAAACAAGGCACTAAATTAGAGTAAGCTAAGCGATGAATTTCTGAATTTTAAGAATTGAGAATGCGCAGCGACTGATATGCTTAAAAACCGAGCCCATGTAAGCTAGAAGAAATTAAATGATCAAGTTACCATCCTTACCCCAAATAGACCAAGTTAAGATCCTCCGCCCCAATGTTCATGTAAACTATAATTCCGCTGCAAGTAAATTACTCAATTCTGATTGGCTGAAAAGTTAAAATCCTTCCCATTCAACGCTTTAGAGGTGGAGTATAACTGAATTCATTATATCAGGGTTATAGCCTAATGTCATTCACCCTTCCAGTACTCATTGATCAAATTTTTTTTTTCGCAAAAAAAAAGACTTTCCAAGTACCGGTTTTGTATAGCTTTTTCTACTCCATATACCGGTTTTGTATAACTTTTTATACAAATATCATTTCTCGTATAATTTTATATCGTATGAGGGCTTGTTCTTATATTTTGTCGTACATCGTCTACCATGTACAAAGCAGTTATAACATGCAATCAACTCACCCGTCCTCGATGAATGTGCTGAGTAGGAATACTCTGGCCACGTGGGGCATCACGTGTTTGCTTTGTCGCAACACCTGGTCCGCCACATCCTCGCCCTTCGCTATCAACTGTTTCACGTCCATCAACACAACAAGCTCTATCTGAAGTTACAAACCGTGCTCGTTGCATGAGGGTGAGGCAACATTACCCAGCCCAGAAAAATAACAAAAAAATTGCATGTAGTTGTTAAGCAGGGGCACAACAGCGGTTCGCCGTGATGAGCTGTACAGCTCGTATGTTGGTCCTATCCCTCGTGGATAAATGATCTTAAAAAAACACTAAAACTGGCGTCTAAACAAACTAAACGGATTTTATTGTAACAGTTTTTCCGCACTCTTTTACAATAGTCGGTGCAGCACCTCATCAAAGAATGGAACATTCAATTTCTAGGAATCTCTCATCAGTTTTGATTTTCAAACGTAGATAATTTCCTCTGTTAGCATGAATCTGGTTATCACAAATTGGATAGGCTTTTGTGCAGAGATTACATTTACTTTATTTTGACCCCTGATGTCTACAACAAATTGATCAATCAAGCAAACTGGTTCTGTGAACTGTTGCAAGAGCAGATAGCGTAGGCTATATTGAACAGATACCGAATATCATATTCATTATCTGTTCAATATAGCCTACGCTATCTGTTCTTGCAACAGTTCATAGACCCAGTTTGCTTTATGGATCATTTGTAGTAGACATTAGTGAAAATTTTGTGGTTTTTGCTCAGGTCAAAAATTGTGATCTCTCCGCAAAAAATCTATCCAATTTGCAATAACCAGATTTATACTGACGGGAAATTATCTAACTTTGAAAATCAAAAATGATGAGCGATTTCTCGTCTAGAGCATTCAATTTAGTCAATATAGTGTCATACAAAGCAAAAACAAATTGAGCAGAAAAAAAGGAACTTCAAAACTGACCGGTTGCTATGCAAAACGCATAGACTGTTCCGTTCCGATTCATGGGCGAATTTAGAACACTCTCCCGGAGAGGGATTCGACCCACTCACCACATAAAGAGTCTCACCTTTAATTCTACTTTTTGATACCCAATTTTGGCCAACTGACCCCAAAACTTTTCCAAAGGCGCCAAAAACCACTACCTTTGAGGGGACCGAACATCAGAAAATCCGAATTTTTGGTCAAAAAAGGCAAATTTGACTTGTTTTTTCACAATTTAGACTGCGGCGCATAAAATCTTGTGTTTTTGAAGAGCTCGTGAAATCAATTTGGTCAACCTAAAAAGATCCGCCCCTCCCTTCAAAAAAAAGGAAAATCCGCCCCTCCCTTCTTCAACAAAATCCTACATCCGCCCCTGTTCCGATCAATCTCATACACAAAACGAAAAACGAAGGAGATCATTTGTTTTAGTTGGAACGTTTTTTGCTGCCGGGAGGGGGGTGGTGACGTGAATTTATGGTGTGAGTTCGAGCTTTCACTCTTCGGTCGAAATTAGCCTAAGTGTGGAGCTCCGGTAGTGATGGTGTCCAGCAATCATATGATTGCTGGTTCAAATCTCACGTGCGCTGCATTTGCAAGGTGAGCTCTATTAGGTTAGTCATAGCATATTGTCAACCTTAATAATTAAACTTCGGGCCAGGCCTCCGGGCTCGTTGCCAAAAAAAACCTTGAAAATCCATCAATTCGTTTAAAAAACGGTTTGAACTTTTTATATTTCAGCTCAAATCACGCGTGAAAATGCTTCAGAATAATATCACTCGACCCCATATTTTTTGTGATACCTGATTTTGCGCTGAATAAAAAAAATACAAATCCAAAGTTCCTTGGGAGGTTGGATTTTTATCTCAATTTTATCTCAGGGATTAGGCTCTTTTCTCCTAGAAAGAAACAATCAAAAACACTTGGCTATCAAATCAAGGTAAGCAGTGATCTAAAAATAGCACCACCAATAACAAACTTTCAGTCGTTTTCTTTCTAACAAACGTCAGGAAATTATTTTTTGAATAGCTCCAGAAACTCAGATTCATGTTCGTGTAAAGACGCAGGAATTACTAAAGAATGCAGCGGTTTTCCCAATTCCGAGTCAACCATTTCCTTCAAAGAGCAAAACTTTATCTCTTGATTTTTCGATCCTAGTCTTGCAACACCAACACAAAACGAATCAAGATTCAGAGGGCAATCCTTGGAATCGCCCGCACCTTCGGTTTCGCTGAAGATTTCAATTGATTCTAATATTTGAGAGGCAGCTTGACTAGCAGACATAAATCTCGGCGGCTCAAAAATTGGCCTCCCTCTTAACATATTTTCAATACTCTGTTCTTTCACTTTAATGTCAAGCAAACATAACGTATGAAGTCCAGACTTGAAATTCTTGACAATCTTTTCAAACGCGCTAATCGGTTTCCACGTTTCAGTCCAAAAACATAATGAAACAGTTTCACCAAAACGATAAAGCTGTAGCCCTGTTGAGCCTATAGCCGTCAAAATTGACGCATTATGAATTGTTTCAACTTCAATTCCTTTTTGCCTCGCTCTCAGGTATATGTCATGATGTGTCGTAGCTGCAAAAGGGTCTCCTACGATTACCAGCGCAACATTTTGGCCAACAGCTTTAGATAAAATTTCACTTTCGCAATTCTGCTCAATAAGCGTTCGGTCAGCAAGTACTATTTTGGATTCATCTAATTCTAGACTTTTTGCTAAATGCGTCTTGCCACTGGTACCATCATCTATTTCTAGTTCTGTCATAAGCGAAGTGTAAGCTTCTAAGAAAATATGATTGCAAGACTGGAGAGCTTTCAAGCCTCGCAGAGAAATATCTTCAGGCGAGCCCAGCCCAAGGCCGACCAAGAAAAGCATACCAATCTACAAAAATTTATCACCCCAATAACACTCCCAATTTCGATAGGAATCTGGGTTTTGGAATTAAGAACAAGGGAAAAGTTATCTATGATAAAGAAGTTTCATTCAGGACTCAATATCTTATAGATTTTATTCCTGTTTTATCCCTATTGACAGATCCAAATGTTTAAAAAGGCCAAAACTTTGAAACCCGACAAAACCACATATCGACGAAGGCAGTCAAAAACCTTTTTCAGATCGAGTTACACGAGCTACTATTTCTGGAAATTTTAATGATTGCAACGTTTGGCGACACTTCAAACTAGGCGAGAAGCGGTTGATGGAAATCTGGAGATATAATACTTTTAGTAAAGTGTCCGTAAGTAGATTTTGCATAAGGAATGTTAAAAACTATCACGCATTTTCCTTTGATTGACAATTTTATGAACTTAGGTTTTTTTTATTCAGGAATCAGTTATGATTTTTTCTTGTGTCTAAATTGATTACGTTCTGAACACTCCCCAACATACTTCGAAAGCAAAATTACCTTATTCGCTAAGATTGCCAGCAGATGAGAACAATTTAAAGTCATTAAGACTGAAAATCGAACCGTAAATATATTTTACAAAGAATGTAAATACAAAACGAACTAGTTTGATTCAAAACTGACGATAAACAGATTATACCCATTAGATTTAAAAAAGGATCAAAAGAATAAACAACACCGCTCGCATGTAAGGGCGAAGCCCTGAATGTTCCGATTGCACAATAAGGCCTATTTGTTTCTGTTTATTCTCCCAAAAGGTTTTTTCTTCTGGTTATTCGGAAAATAGTCAAACTTAAGCAAACAAAAAACATCAAAAATCGAATTTCAAAGAAAAAAATTGAATGCCTTTAAAGCCCTGTGAATTTCTAGGACAATTGATGATTGGCTTTTTTCAATAAAATTAACCCAATTTGAGAAAACTGTATCAATAGGTAATTTTTCGGCAGAGAAATCTGAAAATTAAATTCTTAGAAGTCAATTTTGTTTTTCGCGACCTTTACACTTTTGCTGTTCGAAACAGGAGTTTGAACTTGAATAAATCAAAAGTCAAACAGCGAAAAATTAATTTGGAGCCTGAACCAATTTTAAGACTTTTACTGAAAAAAAATCATCACGACCTATATAAAGTCTAAATTACGTTACGTTCATTCACTTTTAAAAAACCACTCGAAGCATAATTATTCCGCACTTTCCTCGAAACTAAGGGAAAAAACAAATCTTTTCAAAAACAGCACATTTAAACCTATCGTATTTAAATCATTTCTGTTCAGATTTTCCATATGATACTTTTTGGTCAAGTTTGTTAAATTCTTATCAACCATGACAATAGAAACTAACAGTCATGACAAAACCAGAAGATCTTATTAAAATTTAATTTAAAATAAAACAATTAAAGATTTGCCATAAAAACTGAACAGCATTTGCTACTTTTATGGTAGCTCAAAAATATAGCAGAATAGATACAATTAAAGACAGATACAATTCGGAAACTAAACAAAGAATTTCATTCGAAAAAGAGAAAGCCAATGATTCATCAGCATATAATGATTTTGTTCGATCGTTATATATAATGGTCATAACTACAGGTATGACACTACGAAAACCGGAGTTATAACATTAACTTGGTCGTTTAAACAGAGAGGCGAAGCGGAGCTTCGGATCACTTGCGATACCACAAAAAAAGCACTGAAAGCTAGCAGACAGGAAAGGAAAAAAACCACTAAGCCCAAGGAAATTGGAAAAATTTTCACAACTACAAATAAAAAACATAATATTGTCTGGAACGATGTTCTTTTTGCGGAAATCACGTCCAGAAACACATTCGACTACTTTTAATTCGAGCGAAACAAAATTGAACGTTTTATACGACACGGAGGAAAACATACAAGTTATGGTTCCTCAAACGACCCAAAATTAGATTAGTAGGCCAATGAAACATACGCCGAAACCATTTAGGCCGAAAAATTTGGAAGCAAAAAAATCAAAAATACTCAAAACTCAACTGGGAAAATATTAAAGGCTAGTAAAATTACAAATTGTACGAGTAAAGGAAATTCTAGAAAAGCAACTACAATGAAAACTGCATACAGCAAAAAATCTAAGATGTGGCAACTAAGCCGACAAAACATGAGCAGACGAATTACAAGCCAAGTTATTTGAAACGGAATATTTTGAAACGGAATATCCAAGTTATTTGAAACGGAATATCCCAGGCGTATTCGTTACCTCCAGATTAAGTGTGCCGGTCACCCTTATCAATTTCATTTCATTTTGAACCAAGAGGCCAAGTTATTCTGCTAAACAACTTGGTAACACGAAAAATCTATATTCCGATTCGATAACGCTTGCTAATCGCAAGCGTAAGCAACAAAATGAAAACTAAGAAAACACGACTTGAGACGAAGATTAATACGCAAACGAACTGAAAGACATGCATTGCGAAAAAAAGATGGTCCGGCCAGGAACAAACCCCAGAGCATGGAAGTCTCAAGCAGGCGCTTTACCCGTAATCTGACAATTTGCAGTTCGATAACCTTATAATTCATAATAATATAACTTAATTTCCAAAAAACTATATGAAGTTGTTAAATGACAAAAAGTCTGTTCCCGATTAGCCACTTGCTATCGAAAGTGTTAAAGATAACAACAGATTAAGTTGTATGGGATCCAAATTCAAACAGTAACCTCCTAGCAGTGCGTCCCGGGCAACGTGTACGTCACTAAAGGACAGCATACCAGACCTGTCTGTACGCGGCTAATGACTGAAGTGCAAACGCTCCTCGGTGGTCAACGGAGGTTGGGTAATACGGTCTAGAAAACCATACCTGTAGAAAAACTAACTACATTCAAACCATTGAAAGAAACCAATCGGAAACAGGAGCGACCGGCCCGAAACAATGTTTTGGTTGGGCAGCAACCGTGAAAGTTTGGACATTGGAATTGTAGGATCCTTAAAGTTCCACAATATTGGAGGGACGCAGTAAAACTCAATCTGTTCAAGAAAGGAAGCAGAGCAGAAGCGAACAGTTACCGTAGCCTTTTCCTTCTTGACCAAGTAGGCAAAGTGTTCGCAAAGGTGATTGCAAATAGGGTGCATAAGCAGCTGCCCAAGATCTCACCCTATCAATTTGGGTTCCCAAGCGACATGTCAACGGGCCTAGATATCTTGGCAATTAGATGTTTGCTTCAAAGAAGGACTGAATACCAGCAACCTCTTTGTATGACTTTCATCGACTTGAAGAAGGCTTTACTGTCTATTGATAGGGAAGTGCTATTTATCGCCCTAATGGATTTTGGAATCCCAGGAGATATCCCAGGAGCATTCCACAACAAACCCATCGGCAAGCTTGAAAAGAATTACACCTTTGTATTGAACCGGGGGAGGGGTGCGGCAGGGGGTGCGTTTTGGGCCCACTGTTGTTTATCATCCTTTTTGACTTCCTCCTAAGTAAGACCAGTGAAGAGAAAAGAAATTTTGCATACGCCGATGATCTGGCTTTGATCTCTGACAACCAAGCAAATGCTACCAAGTCGCTGAATGAGATAGCAAAAACCTTTGGATTGGCTCAATTAGAAATATCTAACGAGAAAACTAAGAGTATTGTAATCAACACCAAAGACAATACTAATGTCCCTATCAATGTACTCAGTGAACAGGTTAATCACTTAAAGTACCTCGGCAGCATCATAGCATCTGATGGCAGCGCTGACAGCTATCAGCCCTCGCATTTCTAAGACAAGGATAGCAATGCTACGTCTAGGACCGGCCCTGGTGTCAAAAAGATTGACACTAAAGAACAAGGGTTTCCTCATCGAGACTTTCCTAAAACCAGTCTTGCTATACGGCTTAGAGACCCTTGTTATCAGATGCACTGATCTTGGTAGACTAGAAGCGGTTATACACTGTGCTAAAAGAATGTGTCGAAGGCTAGAAACGAGAAACGAAATGAAAATAAAGGAATTGAATGAAAAGGTTAAAACAACGCCAGTCGCACACCAACTATGCAGGAGAAGGGTTCAAATGTATGCTTCCTTTAAAAACATCGGTGTCGATAGCTTAAATGATCTACTTGAGGGTGATAAAGTTTGGCAAAAAGATTGGATTCGGCAGCTTAGCGCTGATCTTGACAACCATTGGCTCAAGACAAAGTGTGACCAGGACAACTGGTTGCACAATCCGACAACCAAATTTAGGTTCCTTGACGGTGGGGATTTTAAATCAATGCTATTGGCAAAAGGTCGCAAACAGTTCAATGTCCTAATGAAAATTGTGGTAGAATGTTTCATAGCAAAGAAGAGATGAACAGGCATCTCAGAGATAATCATTCAGAACCTTCGGTCCAGACCTCCGATAGTAGTTAAATTGAAACTGATAAAGGAATTGAAAGCATTAAAGGAATTGAAAGAACTGTAGAGATCCCCGAGCAGCCCAGCAACGGAGGGGTCCAAGAAGAGCAAATTCGACTGCTCTCCGCCGACTGTAACAATACTTATGTCTATGTCAGTGGTTGGACTAAGCACATGCAAAACTGCCAACCGCATATGAAACTGATCAGCGCATCAGAACCGACCGTCTCAGCGCCCCAACTGAGTCGGCAATCCTTCGCATCAAAGCAAGACACTAGCACAGGTCATGATGTGCTAAAATGCCCGCTTTGCTCTTATCGGTGCTCTGTTAGAAAGTCAATGATCAATCACTGCTATGTGAAGCACCGATATTCGTGGGTCAAAGCAAGGCCAATAACCGAGCCGCCAAATCATGTAGGCGTTGTCCCGGTTTTTACATTCAAGGGACAAAATTGTGCAGAATGTAGCGCCATGACCACCACTGCTACCTCGGAAAGGTAGAACGGGTTCCCAGTGGTGACTTTCATTTCGTTTGAATAAATTCTAATGATTTGATAAAGTCAAAACCATTGCCCCTGGCCTCGACCAGCTGGGTTGCAGATGGTGGGAAATTAATATATTTAGGTTTTAAATTTCTCGCAGAGCGCAAGCGTTATCAAGCTTACTTATTCTTAATGAACACTGTTGATGCCTAACTTTCTGGAGAAAATGGAAAAAACATCTCGTAAGTAATTCATAGATAACACCGAAATCAGTGAATTGACCGCTTTAAGCGGCCGGAAAAAGCGGTAAACTAGTTGAAATAAGCGAAAGCGGAATGACTTTTGTAAAAGCGGCAGAAAAGCTCTGAAAGCGCGATTCAGTTTCAGAAAAAAGAAGAGCGGCTTCGAAAAAAGCGGAAGCGGATTTTTCATAAGCGGTCAATTCACTGACCGAAATTGAAAAATTTTCTGAAAAATTGACAAAAAGAAATAAATATGTAAGTTGGATTTCTCAAGTTTTTAACCGCCAATTATTTCGCTTTTAAAATTGTAAATTACATCTGAAACTCCAGAAAAAAATGGTACCTTAAGAAATCCACGAGAAAAAAATGCTAATTATCTGGCCATAGACTCCATAGAAATTGATTGGTCCTAAAAAAAACTCAATCGGTCTGTGAATTTTCGACTACAAATATTTTAAACAGTCAAGCATTGTTTAAGCCACCGGTGAAACTTCAGCGGAACTACTCCAAATAAGCGAAACGAATGAGGATTTTACCTTGAAAACAAATAAAAAGGGACCTAAGTATTTAGTTTTTCCTCTGAGTGATCAAAACTGTTATCTCGCAGCTAGATTAAACAAGCACAATTTTCGATATTAAAAGGTGCAATAGATAAACTTAACAATCGGGTCTCGGTGATACCCTAACCAGGGGCGGCCATCCCCCCCTCCCCTCCCTCAGCGATTCGACCCCCTGCCGACCCAAAGGGTCCCCCTTAGAACTAATTTGAGATACTCATTTTTGGCTGACGGACCTCAAAATTTTTCTAAAGGCGCCAAAATATTAACTGATTTTGAGGGGAGCGCGCGCGCCGAAAAAACGAGATTTTTTTGATGAAAATGGTCCAAAAAAAGCCCTAAAACGCCTTTTTTGGCCTGTTTTTTTTTCAAAATTTTGCCTGCGGCGCAGAAGCTTTGGCCAAACCAGGGTCTTTTTACTACTTTGAGAGAGCTCGGAAAATAAAATTGGTCGACCTAAAAATAAAAGTTCAAAATTTTCGAAATTTTTTTAAAAAAGCCGCCCCCCCCCCTCGAGAAAATCCTTGATCTTAAGCATTATTGAGGGCCAAACTCTTCAGCATCTGGTCACTGACCCTAAAGGCTGAACATTAAGACGTTTTTAAGTCAAAGTATGAACGTTACCTCTGAGCCGAAACGCAGAATCAGACAAAGTAGAATTGATTTCTAAAAAGCTGTCAAATTATTCAAGGATATTGATGACATAGTTGTAAAGGGAAATGTTCCGAATTGTTTGAAAACCGCACGCGTATTTCGAAAAATTATTACTGATACTCCAGAAAGGGTCGATAGATAAACCTCGTCCAATTTTAGGAAGAATTCACAAGCTTTAAAGATAGAACAGAGGTCTGCAATGATATCAAAGAGAATTTTGCAGACGACAAAATTAAGCTTATTCCCAAGACATGATACTCGATTCGGTTAAGACCAATTTACCACAAAATGAACACGCCGGTCTCACGTGATCCGGGAAGTTCCAACGATAACCTTTACAAAACGAATCAAAAATAATTGAGAAATAATTATAATTTCTAACTAAATGACTGTTCTTTCAATAATTGTAGTGAAATAATCATTAAACCTTTAAATTCAAATTCTTCTCAAAATTTCACTTTTTATATTCGAAAGAAAGCAAAGACCGCAGACGAGACATTCGGCCAAAACAATTATTGTGAAAACTTAAACTATTTCAAAGAGCAAGTATAACACAGAGAAGAGGCTGCGTTTCCTAAACACTAGCGAGGAAACGACAAAAATCAGCTTTATAAAACGAAATAAGAAACTATTGAAATAACGAATTAGTAAGACTGTACTACGTATATTGGCGTCGAACCTCCGACCTCGAGAATTGGAGTCTCGCACCCTGCCCACTTGGCCACGAACGCTTAAACGGCAAACACTAGTCACAAATAAAGCAGCTACATATAATAAATTGCCAATGCAATGCAGCAAAAGTGAACCCAAAGACAAAAAGACAATTTTGCAAGCAATAGTTTAGAATACAACAAACTGAAGATATCCACTCTTACTTTGCATGCAATAACTCTTTTCAAAAAATTGCCAGACATATTGAGTTAAAAAGTTTCTGCAACCGAGTTTTTACAATTGTTATTTTTTGAAACAAATATCTTTTTTCGGTTCATTTGATGATTTTAAAATGCATCAACAATGTTAACTTATTACTATTCGGAAGTCAAAGCACATGCTATCAAAATCCGTAGAAGTGCCCCAAAAGTGGCACCAAACTGTGCGACTTGTGTTAGAAAAAATATATATTCCAAGAAAACTAACGCTCACTAAAGTTCGTAGTGTAATCAGTGTTTAATCTGCTCGTTAAAGTTTACCTTTTTAAGCTTGAAACTGTGAGAAATTCAAAAAACACACATTCATATAAAACTATCTTGATAGAGACGGACGAAGATGAACGACAGCTTCTCTTGATGAATGAAGTTCCACCTTTCGATCGGTATTGTTTTCAGGTGCCGTGCATTATTACTCAAAATCTCATCACCGTAAGTGCTTTTCCTGGAAAAGAAGCTTTTGGAATTTGCCTGATCTGATTATAATAAATTTTGCTATAAGATTGAAAGTGTTTATTTATCCAACAGTGCCAAACAGCATGCAAAATAGTTACACAATCAATCATAATATCATTAATTTCAAAAACTGAAAGCTCCTGATGGAAAGGATAGACAAAGGGCACATGGTGTGTCCACTAGACGTCCGCCCTACATTGATAAGTGCAAGTCATACATACACTTCATAATAATGAAATAATTAATTCTGTCCAAATCACATACCCCAAAACGCTTTCAAAATGTTACGAACAATTTGTTTAAGGCACTACTTCAAACTAATGGTCCCTTCAAAAAATTATTTTAAAAAATTAATTTAAGTTAAAGCAATTAAATTTTTCGAAACAAACTACCTGATTTTTAATCAATCATTTTTTTGCTCTTGAAGCGACACAAATAGAGGCAACTGAGTCGACAAAACAAAAGCCAAAAACATTTTGGCCGAATTAAGTTTTCAAGTGAAACAGAAAAAAGTCAGGGTTATTATTTTTTTTATTAAAGGAATACATCAAACACACTTGCATAAGCGACAAAAAATGCTGACTGCACAAAAAACTCTACTATGTGTAATCTACGAGGCAAAAACAAAAGCAGACGCACAAAAGTCCGACCATTCAATTTTTCCCTGAAAAAAATTTGATAATTTTATGTATACTGAAAAAAAAAACAACAAGATACGGCCGGAACTCAAACCCCAGACTCTAGGGTACAAAAACAACCGCATTATCTCTACGCCAAAGCAGTCTCGATGTTGCTAAGGTTCACCAAAGTAGCTTCAATTTCAACTGCAGATGTAAGTAAAATTATTTACGGGGGGAAACGTCTTTCGCAAGTCTAAAAAATCAAAAGAGCGTGCAAAACTTCCACGACCCGAAAAAATTAACATAGCCAACAGACAATTGGAAAAGAGTACAGGAACGCAAGTACACAGACAAAAAAATGAAAAAATAAAGATCAACTTTTGAACTTCCAAGAAAAAATAATGTCCTTAAATCTCTAGAAATTTCCAGAATAATTTATAAATAACACTTTTTATGATAATATTAACCCAACTGGATGAAATTTTTGAATTCGCTGGGAAATTTAAAAAACTCTATTATCTAAATTAGAGGTCGATCATGTTTTTCGCAACCGTTACACTTTCGCGGTTCGATAGGAGAGATTGCCTTCCATTTAACAATGCAAACGAATTGGACTTGATTAAGTCTGAATTACGTTCATCGACTCGTCATAGTAGACACAGAGGCGAAGCTTTGCTTCGCAAACACTAACGAGATCAGGACAAAAAGCAGCTCTAGAAAGTGCAATAAGAAAAATACAAATAGCAAAAACTCGGCTAGGTCTAGGATGCGATTTGCGACCTACTGCAATCAAGAGCTTTGAGTCTAACTCTCTAACCACTCAGCCACGCGCCCTTAACCACCGACAAACACTGGTCACGAGTAAAGCAGCTACATAAGCTAATAAATTGCCAATGCGATTCAGCAAAAGTGGCACAAGTAGGCACAATTTTGCAGGAAATAATTTGGAATATTACAAATTGAAGGCATCCACACTAATATTGCCTGTCACAAATAGCAAAGCATTAAGCCACATTATGTATAAAAAATGCATTTCAAAGAAATGCGAGATATACTGAGCTAGACAATTTCGGAAAACGAGTTTTTATTATTGTTATATTGTTTGAAACAAATAGCTTTTTTCGGTTGATTTGATGAATTGAAAACGCATCAACTGTGTTAACTTATTACTATTCGAATGTCAAAGCACATGCTATCAAAATGCTGTAAAAGTGCGCCAAAAGTAGCATTTGAAATTTAGGTTTTAAAAAATGCTTCTTAACACAGGGGCGAAGAGGGCGAAAATTTATAATTTATATGAGAATTATATGTTCACTAAATAATCTTATTTCGGCTTTTTCCTTTTCCTTTTCCACCCCACCTGCAAAATTTTACTAGTGAAATTTTGTTCACGTTATCCGAATGTTACGAAAATTGGCATGCGAACTGATAAGGCTATTACAAACATATTTGGTATTCTTGTTTAACCTTGTAAAACCCCTCGTTACACCATAAAACTGATGCTTATGTGAAGCGGGGGAAAAAAGGAAAAACAGCCCTTATTTCAGTTGAGGCAATAAAAGTAACCTAAGGTTAAGTAGGTCCAAGAGTATTAAGAACCCCGACGACTAAAAACTAACGTGACAAATTTACTTCAATTTCATATAATACGAAGCAATGGTTATGGTAATTCATTTGAAATGATTGACAAATATCAAAGAAACTGCAACAAAACTTAGCACAAACTGAATTTTACTTCTCAACCAATGCTTGAAGTAGAGTTTATAGATATCTATTCTGTCAACGGAGCTCTAAAAACGAATTCGCGAATTAACTTGTGCATATGTGACCAAATCACTTCGAGATTAAGCATTTCAACTTCTATGGCTATTGAGAATCATCTCTTTCCAATTACCCGAAATTGTTCCCAAACACAAAGGGTCTTCTGGCTTCCCTCTGACTAACTGACGTTATATCGCTTCCCACAGGTGACTGAGGTCTACATGACACGACGTCTTCATCCGGTAACATCGGTGGCTCATCATCTGGATTCAAGTAAGCACTTTGAAGAGCAGCGATTCCAAAGTTACTTTTCTGTAAGAACGTATCAAGCTTTTTGGACGCCTCGATCTCCTCTAATTTGTGAATTTCATCAACGTTTTCTTCTGGAGCTTCAAAACCATAGAAGGGTGTTTTCACTGATGTCGATGATTTAGTTTGACGGCCTGAATTTAATGATGTTTGTACATGACTAGATTTTGCTCCATCACCACCGCACCTTAGCTTTAGTTGCTCCGCTACAAACAAAAAAATATTAACATCCATTACCAACTAAAACATCTAAAGCACAAGTTCATATTTCGACCAAGATTCTTAACTTAAAAACATAGCTAAGAGATAGTTAGAAAATGTCAAGGATCTCAAGAAAATCGGAAAAAAATATTGACTTTTAAGTTTTCAAACCAGTTTGCAAAATTTGGAGAAAAAATGTATATCACCATGAATATCTTTCAAATTGAAGGGTCTTTTGAGATTAGCACATTTTTCCAACTAATAAAACAATTAGAAACAATGGATCGAAAGAAATTTTTTTATTCCATTGGTAATCTGAAAACTAAAATCCACTATTGTAACTAAATCAATTCACGAGTTTGATTATGAAATTTGAAAAAAAAAAATTTAAAACAATTTTTTATGCCTCGAAGTGGACATGTCAGAAGTAAAATGTTGCGAAAAACACGAAAAAACATCGTACGGCAAACCATTGATCGTTCGATCAGATTCGAAAAAAAAACTTTTGAAGAAAGCTCAGCCAATGTTTTATAAATGTTGTCTACAGAGCTAAATACATTAAACTATCCATAGCCAAAGACCAGCCTCTCTATCGCGCAAACAAACGTACTGCTTATGATGTTTCATAATTAACGAAGTCAATTAATGGGTACCATTTGGAAGACAAAATATTCCGAAACTACGAAAAATTTTCATCATGCGTCTTTAAACAGTCCAAAACATATTCATAATTTTTTCGGACAATCCAGCAACAATTCAACAGTCTTGAAACGATTTAACTTTCCAGTTTATTTTTGTCCAATTTTCAAATACCTAATTTAAATTGGCTTTATTAATTTTCGGTTCTTCGTTCTTTCTGGATTAAATGATTCACCCAGAATTAATCGCTGATAGTATGACTCACCAATTGCTTCGAGAACAGAAACTCCTTCAACTGAAGCATAAACTCCAAAAGCATCTCCTGGTTTCTGTGGCTGTTCCTAAAAAACAAACAAACGTCCAACGAAAAGCTGAAAAAGCTCCAATAAGGCCACCTGACTTTAATTTTGACACCCGTTTCTTTTCAGCAAACTATTTGAATGATTTTTTGAAATTGGTAATGAGACATTTTTGTTAGCAAATCATTTTAGAGTAAAATAGTACCTCATTTTTCCGCCCGGAGACACCTGAAAACGGATCTGTAGATCCAGTGGTGATCTCCCAGGCAGTTGTAAATTTATTTAAATCATTTTGTGAACTTTTGTATTTTTCTGCCTGAAAACAATTTATTATTATTAACACCCTAGTTTAATTTTTATAGTTAATCAAAGTCTATAAAATCTAAGTCTTTAGATTTGCGAGTCAAATAAAATTAATTTCTCTCGATTATGCTCAAGATTTTAAATGAGTAACAACCCGAATTTGTCATCAAGCTGGATTAACTTCAACGACTGAATACATCAACTTAAAAATCACCAAAACTTTTACAATAACTTTTTTCTAGCATAACGGTAACTTACGAAGACAATGACGTCAATTCGTTTGGCTGAAGAAAAAAAATAGACAAATCAGATTGGTTGTAAAGTTCTTACAGTTTCACTAAAAATTGTTTAAATACAATACGCGGCTTTTATAAACTTTATATCTGCATGTTTCAACGTGATTCACTTCAAAAATGATGTTACATACAACTAACTATTAAGCCAAAAGTGAAAAAATTACTCAGTTCCTACCACTATTTGAAAAAAGTACTGAAATGTACTGAAGTACTAATTGGAATTTAACAACGGTTTTCCAAAACATAGCCTTATTGACAACTGGAAAAGAGTAATGAATGCAAGGAAACTGAAAAAAAAACGACTTGTTTTTTTTTCAAAAATCTTCCACTTTTGAATTTCGAAGAAAAAATTAGATGGCTTTAAAGCTCTTTAAGTTTGTAGAACAATTAATGATGGACAATTTTTGTTAAAATTAACCCAATTTGAGAAAACTGAATCAATAGGTAAAACTTTGATTTCGCTGGGAAATCTGATAATTAATTTCCATTTTCAAAAATAAAAGTCGATCACGTTTTTCGTGACCTTTACAATTTTGCTGTTTGATAGCGGAGTTTGCCTTCCTTCTAACAATAGAAATGCACTGAAGTAAAAAAAGAAATTTTATGTCAAACCGCGAAAAATCAAAATTGAGAGTGAGCAATCTTTAAGACTTTTCCTGGAAAAAATAAACAAACAAAAATCAGCAAGACCTATATGAGAGTACTCACTACGCTCATTACTCTTAATAAAAACATGGACAGCCGGTTGCTGTGCCAGTAGCACAGAAGGTTCCGATCACAAAATAAAACAAGCATGATGTTTTTTTAGTTCGTTCGGCCATGAGCGCATCTGAACGAAAGCCAAGCAAAAAGGTACAATTGATATTAAGAGTAAAGTACGCATATTTGGCAACAAAATTTTTTTACAACATCAATCAAAAAACAAAAAAATCAAAACACTTTTGCAATTTTTTTAATGAGCAGATTTTTTCTTCTCAACTTCCTTGAGTAAAATTAAGTTTTTACGTTTTATTGACCAGCTCGCTCGCTTTATTCGCTCAAAATTAGATCAAAAAATGTGAGCCGTTTTTGGATCTACTTAACAATGGCCTCACTTTGCTATCTACTAAAGAATTACCTCCCCTATAAAAAAAAGCAGTAAATTAGCACTAAGGCGTTATTTAAAATTCGAATTTTGCTGCATTCTGATTGAATGAAAATTCGACATTTTTTATTTCTGAACAATTCCCCCCTTTTGTTGAAGGGGGTTATTGTTAAGTGTTTTTTTCACGTTAACATTTTTTCGAAACATTTTTTAGGTTTCGAATCACGACTGCGAGGGCTTCAATATATATCACTCGTCCCCTTCTGACGATTATTTGAGATATCTGAAAAAAAAACACACCCGAATACAAAAACTACACCCCAATTTCAGTGGTCGCAACAAAAATCAGAAGTACAAAAGTTTCTGTTGAAATGACGCAAATGGCGTCTCGAAATGATTTCAGAAGGATGTTATCAAATGTAGCTGAAATGTCAGATGAATCATTCGAAATACGATGAATCTGAAACCCCAACCTAAAATAGAGGACTGGTACCAACCCACTCTATGCCATAGTTCATTTCATATACATCGAGTGGTCGCAACATTCAAGGAAATTCACGACTCCCTCCTATTTCAAGAGTGGCCGGAACAAAATAAATAAAACTACATGATTAAGATGGAACAAAAAAATGCTTATTTCCAATCACTATCGGATGAATAGTCCTATTTTTATCTGATTTGCCAAGTCATACAAAATCCATCCTTGCCAATTAAATGTTTCTTCAACAACTCTTTTGTTGTTTTCCTTTCTGGTAACAACTGCTCATTCGGTATTCTAATGCCACCTGACGAGTAAGTCAGTTCAATTTTCACCACTGGCGGTAGAAGACAAAAGGCGGGTGGAATTTTGTAAACTTCGTCCATCCGGGCTATTTCCTGGTCGCCCCAATCAGCAAACATAACTGTACAAGTTTTGTTTACTGCGTCTTTGGACATGACAAACGCCCGAAAAATTGATCCTGGGTACTTTTTAGACGGGACAAGAGCCAAAGTCGGAAGAGCGAGGTCACGAAGATTAAGCCGCTCTCTTGTCTGAAACTTCTTAAGTTTTTCCGCTAATTCGTCCTAAAATCAAAATAACCAATTTACAAAATTTATGTAAATAAAACGAACAATAATAAAAGAACTTGATGTTCCGACTTTCCCTTAATTCATATCAAATAGTTTTTGGGAAAAGAAAATATTGAAAACCTATACATTTTGGACAATATCAAACTGTAAAGTTTTGAGTCGTACGAAATTAATACGACCAATTAGCTAGCATCAATTCGATTTGAAACAATTTTTCTGTGCGGGATAATTTGCCACGCATAAATAATTCGCGTTACGCTCTCAGAATTATGAATAAACTCTTAAAAGCGCGCATAATTTAGTCCAGAACATGGCAAATTTGGCAATTTTTAAAACAAATCGGAGGTGAAATATCATTTTACATTTGAACTCAAGAAGTCGATATCTTCAATCGTGTAAAAAATTTGTTGAAAATTATTATTTCGATCGTTGAAAACTTTTCTTACAAATCTCACTTGCTTTTCTTACTTTATAATTGAAGTTTAAGAGCATCAAGATTTGTCCCGACTTGGCCTAGAGGCAACGCCGTTGCCTTTGCGCCCTAACGTCAGGGTTTGAGTCCCGGTCGTACTTTATTTTTGTCAGTATGTATGCAGTTTAATATTTTCTTTTTCGATAAAAATTGAAGTGTCTGATTTTCATTTGTCTGCTCAAAATTTATCGACTTAGTTGCCTCATTAAGGACTTTGCTTGTGCTGGAAGCAATTTCATGGTAGTTGCAAGTGCAAATGTTGCTCAATATAGTTTCAGGGGGCTTGAATTTCTTAAAACTTTTATAAAAATCATTTATTGGCTCAATTTGTGTATGCTCAATGATCGTTGGCTTGGCTGCTTTATCAAGGACTTTTCTTGTTCTGCAAGCAACTTTCATGGGAGTTGCCAGTACAGGTGTTTTTCAATGTAGTTTCAGTGGGACTTGAAATTTTTTTCTTCCGACTTTCGAAGGAAACGGAATATTTATGCTCGGTGTGGTTTTTTTAGTAATTTTCACCGATCGAAATAATATTTTTCAACTGAATAAAAAAAAACCACACCGAGCATAAACATTCCGTTTTCTGGAATGAAAGCAAAATCAGTCAAGCCTTACGTATTTTGACAGCATGTTTCTAGGAGCACAGTAAATTTGATTTGGTCCTTCCAGGTGTACCAAAAATCCCTTGAATTGTTTACCCAGATCATTTTTCGGCAACAGTTCATCAAGCGCCAATTTTTTCTCCGTCGACTTCTGATTCACTTTTTTAGATTGACTGTCTTTTGCAGAGTTTTCAGGTCTTGGAGGACTGTTTACACGATTTTCCACAGGGATTTCACGGGAAACCGTTTCTTCACGCGGAACGAATTTGTTCAAAAACAGGGGAATTAAATTACACAATTTGTTCATTTCTTTCAAATCGTCTTCGAAGATGCTGTAAGTGTTTATAAACGAATCTGATGTTTGATCATGACGTTGTAGCTCGTCGTTGGCAGTTCGAAGTTTGCTCAATTTCTTTTCCAAAATGTGTTCCACGAAGTCGATCACTTTTAGTTTGGATTCTTCAACACTTCGTAGCTCTCTCTTGGCAGTACTTTTTACTCTTTCAACACCGTCCATCTTAATTTCTGAAATAAAAATTATTAAAAAATCAACCATGACAAGTTGCAAAAGTTATTAAATGATTTCGTTGAAGCTAGGAACATGTAGAAACTACTTACGATACGTAACGCTTCTTCTTTGTTATACTTTTAGCAGCGAGAAAAAATCCTCATCAAGCCTTAAGGTATCTGAGTTCTGGAGTCAACAAACGGACTATCCTCGACAGGACTGTTAAGGCCTACTGATAGCTCCTCTGCGATTCGCAGGAACTACAATTAATTAACTTGTGCTCAACTAATTCCATGTCAAAACAATAACATTAAATATTTCATTAATTAAATTAATTTAGTTCTCTTGTTAAAATTCAGCTGAAATTATACTAGAGCCTCCAAAATTTTATTTGAGATTTATTTTGAATTTTTAGCGAAAGTTACAAATCAGTTTTAAATTTTTTCCTTACAGATGAACAATTGTTCAACCTCAAAAGTATTTAACAGGTGAAATTATGATATCGATCAATCTAATACGCAACTTTCAGCCAAAAATTCATTATTCCACCATTGATTGCTCGGCCGCATATTTGCACAGAAACAGTGTAAACCTGTCTAGGAATCGGTTCGTGACTTCTTCTTTTACGTAACCCATCGATTCCAACGTATCTAAATGAGAAGGAGTGGACGATGCAAAGTGCAGATCAAAGACTAGTCTGCACTTTTTCAATGCAGGCAAAGTTTTCACTGCTGTATTGACACTGAGCAGAAAATTATCCAGCATTTTCTGTTGAAGTAACTTCGGTGAGTTGAACACAAATACGCAACACGCTTTATTTTGTTCTATGTCACCTTCGCCGTTATCAATGTTTTCTTTTTCATCCAAACTTTTGACCAGTGTAGATAACGCCGAAATATAATCATTTTCACTTTCAGGCGAATCTTCATCCTCACTTTGTGAATCGACATTCACATTTCCATCGTTATCATCAGTCGAAGGGGGCATTTCAGCGTCCGTGATTACGGTTTTCTGAGCTGTCGACGATGCCAAAGTTTCCACAGCCTTTTTAAGACTCTGTGTACTTTCATGACCTACAGATAAAGCCAAGACATCGTCCTGATGATTAATCATGACATAGCACAGCACGGGACTCTGATCAACAGCTCCTTTTAAAAGTGTCTCCACTAAAGCACTGTCGTGGAAGTCAGCCATGGTGCACATAAATTTGGCCGCTTTAGGAATGAAGTTTTGAGATAGTGGCAGAATCATGACTCCTCCGAACCAACTGTCAGGTTCCATGATGCTAGTGAGCAAGCTATTGAATTGCCCATTAATTCCAAATCGAGTGTAGAACCCGAGTCGTTTCTCTTCGGACATTGGACATGCCTCGCCTAAACAGAACAAAAACCAGTTTATCTCATAGTTTCGATGTTTTTCCTCGATGTGTTTTCTAGTTACGATGTGCACATGGCAGACAACTCAAAGGAATCTAAAAACTTATGCTAGCTGTGCACTAACATAATGCTTGAGATATAATTTTATTTTAGGGGTCCATTTTTCAGCGAAACAAGCTCAGCTAACCAAGAAGCCAATTGAAGTGACGAATCAGCATGTCCATTATAGTCCTGGTCTCGCTTAGCATTGGATAGATCTCGAACGCCACCTGGCGATTAGGACAATCCAGCAGTTTGTCAATCGCATCTATCACACTTCTCGCCTCTTCTATCAGCTTGTGACCTCTTTCAGTCCAATCACTCTCAGCTTTACCGCTGCTAGTTTCAACTAGAGACTTGGCCTCCTCAAATATCTTCTCAGCTATTGGACCAGCCTTGTGTGGAAGATAATTGAAACTGAGAATCAGTTCAATTTCCTCTGGGGTTATAGTGTAGGTTCCATCTATTTCGAAGTCCATTTCAACCTCCGTTCCAGCATCTGAGTTTTCTTGGGCCGCAACTGCAATTTGAGAAACTAGTTTTTCTTCGCAAGGCAGTTGTCGGCAAACTAAAAACAATTAAAATATGTTTAACAATCCAGTTGTTTTATATATTGAACCGCATTTTTATATATTATATATCTTCCGCACTTCAAAAGAGACGCCTACCTTCAACTGCCCATTTTTCAGCACAACTTCTGGTGATTTGATTGCTGTCAATTTCTGCTTTTTCAAATGATTTATTGAACCACAAGCTCAGCGAAAGAAATGGAATGTAATTCAGTTCAAATTGATTATTCGGGTTTGTAAGTATTCCAGAAACTTCATCAATCAGTTCAGCGTCTCTTCCGAGATACGGTCCTAGAAACACTCTTCTAGGATCGTAATCATTTGCATTTAAATTTTCCCAAATTAAGGGTTTCCGTTTAAGTATCTTTCGAACAGGCTTGATATGCTTGGCTAAAAGCTCATCCGAGATTACTCTATCACCGGTCCACAGAACGTGAAAGGCCTCGTTTAGGTCTGAACCAACAGTTTGCAGGTACTCGCTTTCCTCCAGAGTTGGAAAAGCTCTACTCGTGCAGTATTCTGTCGGACAGAACATTAAATGACAATCAGTGCCAAATTTTTTGTACATTGCATTTGACACATGCACTTGTGCCTTAGCCAACGAAGTGAACTGCTTATGATCTAAGGAACAATGGAAATGAGTATCAATATCATCGAACAGCAAGGCAAAGTCTCTGCATCCAATGTCATAAACTTGTTTCAACTTTTGTTCCAATAATTCAATTTCTTGATCCGAACTATAAATCATATCCAGGCCGGGAGAAATAGCGTATACAAAGGCAATATTTTGTGCCGAGGCAGCGCTAATGAGTTCTTTGAGGTAAAAGATTTCAATTTCGTCATGCAGCTCGCGCCACAACCGTCTATGCTTTGCTTCATCTTTAGGGGCATACATGAAATACTTGAAGCCAAAATCTTTTTCCCTATTGAACAATCTTTTACGCTGCTCGAACGTCCATGGCTTCCCATAGAAGCCTTCAATTACTCCCAATAAAAATTTATCTGACATTTAACGCCTGAAAATGAATCAATCGGAACAAAAATACCCAATATTGCGCATAGGAAACAACTTTTTCTTAAAATCCGATCAAGCAAACAGATTTTTGCTTCGCATTGGTGATAACGGTACTACTATGATAGTGGTTTCTCGTAAAAGCAACTATGATAGATAGGTCGTGCAAGCATTATGCATGCTATAATTTCGAAAACTACTTTGCGAATAATTTATTCATTTCAAAAATCGCGCGAAATATAATGATTCAAGCTCAAATTAAACTCAGTTTTGACGTTTTTTTTTTTGCATTTTCCACCTTAAAATGGTGAGGGGGGGGGGGAAGTTTTACGAAGTAAAACATAAAATTTGTTTCAAAATATACTGCGAAATCTTTCAAAAGGACGAGATCATAAATTTTAAACGATTTCAGAGCTCTAGATACCTTATTCTCAAGCGACCTTGTTATTTTCAAGGGACCACTCTATCATAGTAGTACCGTGAAATCGAAAAAAAAACCGTGCCAAACCATTTGTTAAACCAGTGTCAAGCCACTGATTAAATAGTGTCTTTTAAGGTTTGATATAAGAGCAGCCAGGATGATCATTGTCGCGAGTTCACTATTTGGAGCTCACTAGTAAATGGAGTCTATACTGGAGAAAAGAAACGCAACTAAACAATTTTCAAAACTCAATACAATTCCTTATGAAACCTTGTAATCATAAACTCATTTCATTTCTTGTGTGAAATAAAACCTTTGAACCATGTTTTACTTCACATATATTATCAAAACAAAATTCAATGCCGTTTGTTTCATAGTCACTGATAATGTAGTCGATATGAGTTTAGTTGAGGAACTAATTCTGGTCTCATCGTTTGGACAAAAAACCTTCAACCCATATGGAATAATTATAGAATCTAAATTTTCTTTTTCTTTGCTATCCAGATAATTTATGTTATAATCACCCAGAAGCGTAATTTTATTAGAAACTGAAAAGCCTCCGAAATCCAATATGCATTTTCAGTTTCTAATAAAATTACGCTTCTGGGTGATTATAACATAAATTATCTGGATAGCAAAGAAAAAGAAAATTTAGATTCTATAATTATTCCATATGGGTTGAAGGTTTTTTGTCCAAACGATGAGACCAGAATTAGTTCCTCAACTAAAACTCATATCGACTACATTATCGGTGACTATGAAGAAAAACGGCATTGAATTTTGTTTTGATACACCTTATAAAACCGACCATTTTGCTTCATTTATTTTGACGGACATAAAATGCGGCAAAAGTTTACCGAGGATGATTTCGACTTTCAATAAAAAAAAATTATCAGAAAAATGATTTTTGCAATACACTCTCCGCTCTTCCTTGGTATCTCTTATATCAATGTACAGACGCACAAATTATGTTCTCGACGATGATTTATTTAATTTCTAGTGCCCTTCAGCTTCAGCAACATGCTCCTATCGAAAAAAAATTTGTTCGTAATTTTAAACCAAAAAATGTATTGAAAACGGAATGGTTCGATTCAGAACGTCAGCAATTGTTGAATAAGAAACAGAATTCACTCAAATCATATCGCAGTCAATGTGGCATTCGACCAGAATGGCCAAAATGCAATTTGTGCTGACTTCGAATTTTTAGCAGTAAGCCTTCCGGATTTGTGGTTATTAAGAACTAAGAACGTTATTGGAACGATTGGCCAAACGGTGAGGGCTGGAACATTCTAGTATTTTTAAATTTCAAAATTTCGAATTATGACGTCATATTTCTCAGAAACGCCAGAAACGGCTATTTTGGCAAAAACGAGAAAGAAGAACACAAGAGAACAACATTAGCTGCGCTAGCAACAACAACGAAATTGAGATCGGAAAACAACAACGAGTTACAGAGTAACAGAAGAACACTCCGAGTTGCAACTATTGTGCTGCTACAACAATAGTTGCAAGGCCGTTGCGAACAACGGTGAAGGGTGAGAGACGGCCTTCCGGATTGGGAGAAAATCAGGATTAGCGAGCTTGATCCAGCGGATTCATCAATCCGGAAGGGTAAAGGAACTGAAACTTTTATCCTGTTGCATAAACTTTTAGCTTCCTGTCATGTCCTGACTTGAATTTAATTAATATCTGGATTCATTTTGATAGGGATGAGAAGCTAGGAGTTGGGGGAAAGGGTTAATCCATCTTCGATGGAGATGATGATTTTTATCTACTGAACAAAAACAATAGTAATATAATGAGTAGTAGCCCTGTTTTTAGGATTGACCTCGTGGTCTGGGGATACTGAGACCCAGCCATGAGCTCACTATTTCTGCATGTAATCTAGTTAATTTGAGTGTTTTGACCGAAGCCGAAAGCAGTAACGTTTTTGTCGACCCGATGTTGCAAAAGACCACCGAAAAGTACTGGCTTGGTAGAGACGGTGAAAAGCAGGCAAAGCTCTGTTTAGACGTTAGCCAGTCGTCTCAAGACTTAGTTTTGTTTTCCGTCGATATGTATCTTCCGGGCGAATGTTACATACATGTTTTTATGGCGCTCCTGGGTGTTATTCTTTTTAACATCATGACCGGCAGAACCGTTAACGAGCACTCCGCGCCGAGCGAATGCTCACATTAACGCCCTTAATAGGCCTAAACCGCCGGGCGGAAGGGTAGTTCGGAACGCGGAAGCCTTCCGGATTACCGTGAATAGTTTTTTAACCTAGTTAAGACCGAAAATTCACGAACCAGGAAGGGTGGGGGGAATCGCAAACCCCTCATCCCCTGAGTGGTTTGTGACCAAAAACACTTAAAGGTATAAGTAAAACCAAACAAAAAGTAGTATAGTACCCAAGAAAAACAAAAAACATAAAAAATTGCCGAAAAAACCAAAAACAGTAAAAAAGTGAAAAATCAGTAGAAGTCATCCCCCCAGACAAGATGTGATCCAACCCCCCCGTTTGTTGTTGATAGATATATTGTTGTTACAGGCATTTATATCAGTCAGGATCGTTACGATCAGTTTTGTAGCCGTTTGTGAGGCTTGTACTGTAGGGTTAAGTTGCGGAAAAAGTTAGGCGGAACCTATAAGAGAGAAAAATTTTTGAGTTTAGAAAAAAGACGTTTTGGTTAATAACTTTGGAACTACTGGGCATATCGAGTTTATCTTGGTACCAATAGATCAGAAATTAGCTGAGCTTACTGATAGGGACAAAAGTTTTTCGGAAAAGGAAGCGTGAAAATTTTTTGAGATTGTTTTTAGCAAATTCCTCAATTTGGAAGGGTACACCCTTCACGTTTTATAAATTTCTTCTAGAAAAGCCCTTATAACCCTACTAAAAGGTGATAGCGGTTGAATAAAGTAACTTTAGGCTGTTCTAGACGAAAAAGGAAGGCTAAAGGCACAGCAAAACCTTAATCGAGCCGAAGTTAGGCGAGCGATAGGACCCTTCACCGTTAGTGTGAATTGTGAAATAAGAGGCTTAACTTCAATCCGGAAGGGTCTAGCAGAGTAGCACATACCCTTCCTAGTTAATTGAAAGAGCAAAATTGCATCGGAGAACGTATCCGGAGGGGTATAGGTTGAAAGAATGTAAACTCCGAAAAGTTACTTTTACAAAACCGGAGGGCTCCCAATCCGGAGGGGTCAAAGATTTTTCAAGTTAGGAGGGGTCCGAATCCGGAGGGGTCTTATAGTTGCTAATTCGGAGGGGTCCAAATCCGGAGGGGTCTTATATTAACCAACTCAGAGGGGTCCCAATCCGGAAGGGTCTAGATTTTGTTAGTCCGGAAGGGTCCTATTTGTGCCAATCCGGAGGGGTATTTTTTTTATTTAAGGACTTAGGTAGACGAAAGAAAGACTAAAAAGTGAGAGGTATTAGGTTATTAGCACACAGGCTAGCTATCAGTGACTGCACTGGTAACTTGCCTTTCAATAAGAACCAGACTAATACAAAACAGGTCCGAACTCGGATATTCGCGACACTAAGTCTAAATTAAAAAGAGCGTGATTCATTGGTGTGGATTGAAACATAATACGTTTTTGGGAAAAGTGACTGCCCTGAGGATTTTAGTAGGTCTAGCTCGGGCAGTCCGAAGGCAGATAGGTAACACAGTACTCGGTGGGTGCAATAGACGCCCACTTGAGAAAATTACTGCCTTCAAAGTTTTGTCTGTTTGGTACAGCACCGAGCAGGGAAAACTTTTTCTTTAAAAGACAGGTTCGACTATTGTACTGCGACCGACTAAGAGTACATTACACATACGTTTTTTTCATAGAGGTATTCATAGTTTGACATTAAATGAATATATTTTGTTTTTTTTTATTTTAAATCAACATAAACTGTGCTTAATTGGGTAGTGAGTACACTATCTTTTAAATTGACTGATAACATCATATTGTGATATTTTTCAAATCTTACCACCGATATTCGGTTAGTGTGAATAAATTTTATACAAACTGTACTCTGACAACATACAGGAATTCGTGGTCACTATTTAATAGAATCTGGTGAAATTTATTGTGTTGTGTCATTATTATTGTTAATAAAACTATAAGGTCTCTAGCAATTGAGTCAAGAATAGGCATTGGAAAGTGACAACCAGAGAATGAGTCTAGACAAGTCAAGGATACCAAAACGAGGTAATAGCTCTAGGAAATTCATACCTGAAAAGCAAAGAAAAACGATGACCGATCCTTTTGTGGATTGGATCAAGCGATCCCGGTCTGACAAAAGGGGGACGGTTTCAGGCAGAATGGTTGAAACGAGAAGTCAGAAGACCTCGGAAGAACGAAAAGAACTGTTAGAAGTGGAGTTCAATATGGACCATACCACGAACGACAACCAGGAAGTAAATGGACTGGAAGGGAGAGGAGAAGGCTGGCGAGTGAATCTACTCCGGTAGAACAAGGCCACGATTTTGCCACTTCCACCGGGACATTGGATCGGGAAGAGATGTCGGAACTGTCCGACATCTCAACTGAAGTAGCGGCAACTAGAAGATCTCCGACAGACAACACTATGATGGCAAGCGGAACTGGGAAACAAACAACGTCATCATCGT